TTAAAACCAAACTAAAAGACAAAGTAGGGACTCTCTGCCTTATGGAGGTTTCCTCTGCTTGACCAACGGAGGAGCAAAGTGTGCTTCATTTCCGCTGGTCAGAGCAATTTTCCCATAATTCTTACCTTTCCTCTGGGATCTCGCGATGCTTCCTGTCATTTTAGACGAAACTGACGAATTGCGTTCTAACTAAATGAGAACAGTATGTTCGTTTCTTTTAGAACTCAATTTGGCACTTTGTTCGTATCGGAATTTAATTTGAATGAATGAAACTCCGATTCAATTCGTGCGGTGGCTGCATCTTGCAGCCGCTTAGTAGATAGCTCCCTGATACTGTGGGAATTAGGGAGTTATCTAAGATTACTTAGTATTAGTAAATGATCTGCCCCTACTCACTATACCGCGAGTAGGGGCATGTCTAGTAAGCAGCCATTGGCTGCTCACTGTAAAAAAAACAAAACAAAAACCTAGTGCCTATACCCCTGTGTGACGGGTGGGGACCATAAAGATAATGAGGGGGGGGATACACCGACTGTCCTCCCCCACCCCTGCGCGGTGGGTGGCCATAAATTACAGCAGGGGGGACACCTACTGTCCTCGCCCTCCCCTTGAGCGGTGGGTGGGGGCCCTAAGACAAACTCCCCCCCCCATCAAAAGTGACTAGGGGTCCCCAAGCCCCTAGTCACCCACCCCAAAAAAAAAGTTACCCCCTACCTCACCCTAAAAAAAATAGTGAGGGGGGGGGAATAAAATAACTAACCTGAAAAGAAAAATTAAACTTGACGTCTTTTTTCAGCCCCAAAAAATGCCAAATAAAAAAACCATCTTACCCGTCGAACTTAAGAAAAAACCAGAGTGCAAAAAAAAAAACAAAAAACCATCTTCACCCATGGAGGGCTCCGTGCAGAATGAGCTCTGCGGGGAAGGCTTATAAAGCCTTGCCCCGCCCTGCAATTAGGCTAAGAACACTCTGATTGGCTGGTTTAAGCCAATCAGAGTGCTCTTTGTCAGTTTACACAGCGTGGGAAAATTCCAAAGAACTTTCCCACGCTGTGTAAAATGACAAAGAGCACTCTAATTGGTTAGATTCCAAGCCCACCAATCAGAGTGTTACGAGTCAAATAACACAGCGTGGGAAAATTCCAAAGAACTTTCCCACGCTGTGTAAAATGACACAGCTTAAACCAACCAGAGTGTTCTTAGCCTAATTGCAGGGTGGGGCAAGGCTTTATAAGCAGAGCTCATTCTGCACGGAGAAAGCCTTCCCCCGATCTGCAGAGCTCAGTCTGTGCGGAGCCCTCCATGGGTGAAGATGGATTATTTTTTTGGCGCTCTGGTTTTTTCTTTGTCTGGTTTATTTTATTTTACGTTTGACGGGTATGATGGTTTTTTATTTGGCCTTTTTTGGGGCTGAAAGACATCAAATGGTAAGTTAAATTTTACTTTACAGGTTAGTTATTTTGTTCCCCCTAGGGTGAGGGGGGATAGGTAGGGGGTAACTTTTTTGGGGGGTGGGTGACTAGGGGCTTGGGGACCCCTAATCCCCTTGGATGCGGGGGAGGGGGACAATAGGACCCCCCCCTCATTATCTTTATGGCCCCCACCCACCGCTCAAGGGTGGGAAGGACAGTAGGGTCCCCCCATTGTAATTTATGGCCCCCACCCACTGCGGGGGGGGGGGAGGACAGTAGGCCACAGGCTGCTCACTGTTTAGTAGACATGCCTCTATTTGCTGTATAGCGAGTAGGGGCATTTGGGAGATTTTATTATGCTATTATGGGTCATATTGACCCCCATAGAGTGAGGGAGGACATGGGGGGCTTAGGAAGTGACGGGGAGCACTGCTCCCTGCCGCTTCTATTTTTACATATTACAAGGAAGGAGCTGCACGCCGGTAGCTCCCTCCTTGTAATAAACTGAACGAACAAACGAACACTGATATTCAGTGTTCGTTTGTTCGTCTGACAATGCTAGTCATTCGTCTATCTGACGAATGAATGTATGGATGAAATTCCCGTTCGCATGTCCAAGTGTTTAACTGGGCATGTGCGGGAATCTCAGTGCTACCTAGTGTGGGCAGATGACGTGTCCCACAGGGACTTCCTCTACCCAGACAAAGATGGCGGCGCCCTGAATATAGATAGGGGCAGAAAATAAAGAATAAAAAATAGGTAATCTGGGGGGCTTAGGCGCATTTGGGAATGACTAGGGGGTCAGTTAGATGTAGTGGAGTCGGAAGGGGGGTTAAAAAAGGATTCGGCAAGGACAGTGCCGCTTTAAATATTAGGATGTTAAATATTAGGACTTAGCAGGTCTTAAAATTAGGTAAACCCAACCTTCGATCAAACAACACAACATATTACACAGTCATAATATAAAAATAAAGCTAAAATCGAGAAGCCATGTGTGAAAAACTAAGTACACGCTTATTAATTGTGCAGACTAGATGGGCCGAATGGTTCTTATCTGCCGTCACATTCTATGTTATTGCTTCCATACGAATTAAGAGACTAAGTATTATTATCGCCATTTATATAGCGCCAACAGATTCCGTAGCGCTTTACAATATTATGAGAGGGGGGATTTAACTATAAATAGGACAATTACAAGAAAACTTACAGGAACAATAGGTTGAAGAGGACCCTGCTCAAACAAGCTTACAGTCTATAGGAGGTGGGGTATAAAACACATTAGGACAGAAGTGTTTTATACCCCACCTAAATAGACATAAGTAGACAGGTGCAGCTAATCAAATGTCCTTGAATAATTGATAGTGTGGTCGCCTCTATAAAAGCCAAAGATTTATCATTTTGCTGATCTGGAGCATTCAATTGTGTGTTTAACACAATGTCAAGGAGGAAAGACAGCAATAATCTTAGAAAAGCAATTGTTGCTTCTCATCAAACTGGGAAGGGTTTAAGGCCATTTTCCAATGAATTTAAAGTCCATCATTCTTAAATGCAGTGAGAAAGATTATTCAAACATTTAAGACAGTTTCCAGTCTTCCCACGAGTGGACATCCAGCAAATTCACCGCAGACTGTACCGTGCTCAGAAAAACTGCAGAAAACGCAAGTCATATCTCTATAGGATTTAGTCAGCATATTAAATGTTAAAGTGCATGAAAGCAAAATTAGAAGAAAAAAAAAAACTTAACAAGTATGGTTTTTGTTTGGAAGGGTTGCCAGGAGAAAGCCTCTTCTGTCTAAAAATAACATTGCAGCATGGGATGCAGTTTGCATCTGAACAAACCACAGACTTGTGGAACAATGTCCTTTGGACAGACAAGACTAAAGTTGAGAGGTTTGGCCATATTGCACAGCACCATGTTTGGCAAAAACCAAACAGCATATTAGCACAAACACCTCATACCAATTGTCAAGCATGTTGCTGGAGGAGTGATGATTTGGGCATGTTTTGCATCCATGGGACCTGGAATCCTTGCAGTCATTGAGTTGACCATAAACTCCTCTGTATACCCCAGTACTCTAGAGTTAAATATGAGGCCATCTGTCTGACAGCTCAAGCTTGAAAGAAATTGGGTCATGCAATAAGACAATGATCCCAAGCACACCAGCAAATCTACAACAGAATGGCTGAAATAAAGGTGTTCCCATGACACAATCAAAGTCCAGACATTAGCATGGTTTACATTCTGTAGCAGGACCTTAAAGAGAGACACTATAGTCACCAGTTAATGTTATTGTTATGATGTGTAAAGTATGTCCCTGCAGGCTTTTTAATGTAAACACTGCCTTTTCAGAGACTATGTGCAGCAATGACGTTCAGCAACTCCATGCTCTACATAGAGCAACTGAATGCTTCCCATAGAGATTCATTGATTTGCTATGGGAAAGCACTAGATATGCTTAAATCACCAAGACTGATGATCTCAGCCAAAGAGGCGGAGTGGGTGTGGAGTCAGTTGTAGATAATGAACATGTATAAGACCATGCCACTATCACATGGCAGCAATGTAATTTATTTCTGGTAAAAATATTTTCATTCAAAAGCACAGACACTGATTGAGTTGTGACCACCAGTTACACCATTCTAAGTTAAGATGGTGCCCAGGACCTCCAGATCTCAATTTCATTTAAATGGTGCTTTAAGGTACCATTATTTTCATTGGATTATAATAATCCAACAATGGCTACTGTGTATGTGATAGTGATACAGCCAATATTATAAAACTGTCAAAGACTGCTGTATGAATATGGGATTTCTCTGTTATTAAAGGATCACTATATGGTCAGGAACAGAAACATGTATTCCTGACCCTATAGTGTAAAATCTTACTGTATTCAAGCCAGAAGCTGTAACTCTGCTTGCTGTTAGACTCAGAAAAACAAGTAGTGTGCTGACATCATTAGAAGTGGTAGCCTGATCCAATCACAATGCTTCCCCATAGGATTGGCTGAGACTGACAAAGAGGCAGATCAGGGGCAAGGCCAGCATGATTCAAACACAGCCCTGGCCAATCAGCATCTCCTCGTAGAGATGAATTGAATCAATGAATCTCTATGAGGAAAGTTCAGTGTCTGCATGCAGAGGGCGGAGACACTAAATGTTTGAATGCATTTTAGGCAGCCATGACCCAGGAAGGATCTCTAACAGGCATCTGAGGAGTGGCCAGTGAAGTTATCACTAGGCTGTAATGTAAGGACATTTTCTCTGAAAAGACAGTGTTTACAGCAAAACGCCTGAAAGTAATGATTCTACTCACCAGAACAAATTCAATAAACTGTAGTTTTGGTGATTATAGTGTCCCTTTAACCCCTTAAGCACACATGACATGTGTGACATGTCATGATTCTCTTTTATACCAGAAGTTTGGATGGACACCTGAACCTGATGCCGAAAATAAGAGTCACTCTACATAAACATCTAATACTTTTAGAATTACTTAAGGTAAGTCCCTTTAAAATGTCACTGCAAATATGCCAACAGTACTTAATCTGTTTAACATTAGCTAGAACAAACAATGAAGAAAAGTATCAATTTAATAGGATGATGTATATTGAAACTTATTAAATTTTATTCGGACAAGCAGAGAAACTTGTATTACAACAGAGGCTTAAACAGCATGATTAAAGACTTCGGTACTTCTGGGAGTACTGACGGATATGTACATGTATATGGAGCCCACTAGTGATACCCCATTACGGCTGATCATTACCAAGTTTAAAAAAAAAAATGAAAATGACTTGAAGTTCATGAAATAATATATTTCCTTCAGGTCATGACCAGCATGAAAACTAATTATAACAGAGGTACTTTACAGCAATGTTGTCTGTCTAATACATACAGCAATATGCTGCATTAAAGGATTAAAATCAGTATCTAGTGTAGTGTTAGCACTGAGCCCTTAAGAAAAGAAAGGGTATTAAGAAAGAAAGGGAGGCAGGTGGGAGGAAGTTACTCAACTTTCTTTCTCCGTTTACGCAATGCAAAAAAAAAAAGTTTAACTATTCACACGTTAAGAAATTTATGGGGAATACCTCTGAATAAAAACCCCATTACATCTAATACTGGACAATCTAAACAATGTGGGGATAAAGTGAGTAATTCACTGCAAGTTTGTTTGCCCATGCTTACTAAGCAGCACTGTGCTGTAAGATATGTTGTTTTATAGCACAGCTTAATAAATATGAACCTATATATGCAACCAGCGATCCCTGCAGTGAAAGACATAGGAAGTGAATTAAATGACATTCGGCTGAGAGGAAACAAGTAGAGTAACGTTATTCCCTAGTAGGTTAAAAGTTACTAAAGAGCCAATTCAAGTTTTTTAACATCTCAGGAAGACTGATGATTTAAGGCTTTGGTGGCAATCCTCTGAGAGAGTTTATAGTTACTCTTCCCTCCTAATGTAGAGTAGGAGAAGAAAAAAAAACAAAAACCAAGGACAGTGTCCATGCTGTCTTCATTTCAGAGTTCACGGTGGTTTAAGTGGGAAAGGATGCTACTTAATAGGTGGAAGAGGCAGTGCTCACGGCATCATCTGCAAGTTTGGTGCTAGCTGGGTGTATACTGGCAAAGTATTTGACGTCACTGTCATAATCCATTTGTAGAGCCATAATGGTTTGCTCTACTGCTTCCTGATGAGAATTGGCAGATGTCAGGAAGTATTCTGAAACAAAGCAAATCATCATTAGCATTTGTAAAAATCCAATTCAAATATAAACAGATTTAAAACTGAATCCAATTTTTAAAGGAGTTGTGGAAACAACTTTAACAAATGGAAAACCACAGTGAAGGACTGCTGGTGGTATTAGTTAAAATAAAAAATAAATCTGAACATTGCTTAGGCTCTTCTCATGACTTATCACTTCTATCAGTTCTCCATATGTCTGCCATTCTATACAACTCCAGGTTCTCTGAAACATCTCTTGTGGAAAGTGTAGCAGATCTCTAACATTTGTAAGTTTCAAAATAATCCATGAGATGGAATAATGAACAACTATTTTATTAAGCCATTAGACATATTGTCTTACGTCAAGATTACAGCATGCACCGTTCCCTTTCTTGCCATAGGTTTAGATTGACTTGACAGCTTAATTTCATCAGGATAAAAGCCAAACACGGCAGGAAGAAGACTGTTTGGGGAAACTATACCCGAAATGAAAACATGAATGCATTTAATCATTCATTTTTCATTTGGGGTATATCTAAAATCCGGTTACAAAAGCTGCAGTTCTCCTGTTTGTTGCTTTAGCAAGCTCTTCCCCCTTCTTCCCCAGTACCGAATTTTTGTGGCTGTTCAATCATAGGAACCAAATCGCTGTTTAGCAAGCCCATGCCACACCTTTCATGGCTGAAATTAGTCACCTTTAACCTTGTAACAAGTAGCAGTGGATTTTTAAGATCAATATGTACTGCGGCAGAGCTAAGCAGCACATCGAGAGACACCATTCCTTGCAGCTCCTAGCGCAAACAAACATCGGGAAAATTACCTCCCATCTCTAGAGGCACTCGACATCCGGGGGTAAAACTGCCACCTTTGCATTTGGGAGGTTATAACTGAACCTGTGGATGCCTTTCTTTTAGGCTTTAAGTGCCAACTGCCAAAACTCCGCAACGATGACGTAAAGCCTACTGCACAGATTACCAGCAACGAATACATGAGCAGAGGAATTCGATGCAAGCACAGACATTGGCCTGAAGCTGGCATCTATCTCTCAAGCCTGGGGGGATAACCCGACCTACCTGCAGAGAACACTCCTTTCTTGGAGACCCAGCACTCACTGGAGCCGATATACCAGCCATCGATATAGCCTGGATATACCAGCCATCGATATACCTGCCGATATACCATGTCATCCAAGACCTGCTGTTACACCTCCAAGGCAATGTTAACAACCAATGATGTAAAAATGGAGGGGCAGGTAGTGACAAACAGGATAGAAGCTATAAACTACTGAAGAGGAAACAATCGACCTGAAAAAAGAGTTAAGTGCCCTGAGTGAGTCAATGTAGCAGTTACAAATGTTGGAATCGCACTTCACCAACCAAGTAGACTAACTGAATGACAAGGGGTGCCAAAAGGACATCAAGATCCACTACCCACCGAGGAACTTCCTCATTTTGTCAGGTGACTCATTACTTTTATTCTGCCTGCAAAATCCGCTAAACAATTTTCCTATGATGGAATTTACTGCATCTCCAGGTCTCCAGAAGCACCAATCAATGCCCCATTGGGACATTATTCTATGCTGCCAGACCATTGTAAATAAAACAGCTTCTCAATTTCATAAAGGGGAAAACTCTGCTATGGTTTGAATCCTACAACCATGCCTTCTTCCAAGACTGGAGTAGGTGTAACAAATAAGCATGCTCTTTGCAAAGTTTTATACATAAACTAAAAAAATATGAATTCAAGTGAGGAATATTCCAATTCTAGATACAAAGCTAACATTTTGGACCACATTTGCCAATTAGGAAGCAAGAGCTTACTCAAACAGCGATTAGCCAATACTTTGCCAAACTGTGTCAATGTTGTTTTACTTTACAGGCCAAGTGCTCTATGAGTGAGACAAAATATTACATGAGAAGGGTATAACAACGGCAGAATGTATTTCCTATGTCTCTGTTTTAATTATATAGAAAGCAAGGCAAAATCCTACATATTGCTTACTGGGTGTCAGAACAAACAGGAAGTGCTCACCCTTCTCTAGCAAGGTCTGTTTGAGAGTCTTTGCTAAGAGGACCCTCACATTCGGAACCCTGTCAGATGCTAAATGCAATAGATGAGGCATCAGGTGAAGGGCAAATTGGTCCATTGGAAGACAGTCATCTTCAATGAGTGCCTAGGTGGGAAAGAGGACAGAACAGAGTACATTAGTTGCATGTGTAACGAACACCAAAACTCAAACTTACATGAAGCCAAACAACATTTTTAGAGGTCACTGGTTACTCACAATGCAGTTACGGCTTCTGGAAACAAGACATTGTTTACCAACGAAGACACTCAGACAAACAAATTTTACAGAGGCTTCAGGAAACCTAAAGATGTTGTTTGGAAACAGTGGTGGCTACGACAGTCATGTATCTGTCAACAATTCATGGTTTTCAAATACAACTGACAGGTTTTCGTACAATCACATGAATACCCTGTGTCAAGAAATATCTTTGGCAACCAAAAAGATTTTGTTTGAAAGAATTTCTAATAAAGTTTCTTATATATGGGTTTATGTCTCAAGGGCAGTTCTGGAAGAAAAAAAAATATTAGTCTGGAAAAATTATTGTGGCCTGTTCTATCTTTATCAAAGTAAAAGGCTGTGTAAAGCAATTTATCGAGTCTCTTTCGCCTGCAAATTCTGTGATAATTGGAACACAAACACTAAAGAAGCACTCAAACCACATATAACAAAACGAGATAGATATATGTATATATATAGATATATATAGATATATATATATATAGACATATCTATAAATCTATCTATATCTATCTATATCTATAAAATGTATGCACTTACCTGACAAATGAACACAAATGTTTGTCGCCCAGACCATTTAGAGCTCCGACAAAACTGTTCGACTAGTTTATTCATTAGGTCCAGCACCAATGTTTGGGTAGGTGCAAGGTACAGCTTCTTCACCATCTCACTTACCTGAAAAGCAGCACATGTATAAATGTATGGTAAATTACATAATTGTCAACTTGTAAATTTAAACAAGAAATACATGGTGTAAACCTAGTTTAAAACCTCTATACAAAGTTTACAATTCAGAAATCCAGGAAAACCACTACCAATTTGATTATTAGTGGGAAATTCTGCTGCTCCTAGGACATCATATAGTGGGGATGGAAAATCAGTGAAGAGAACTGTAAGAAAACTTTTTTCCCTTTGGTTTTTACTATATGTATTAGCTGATGTGTACTGTAGTCGTTGCTTCCGCCCAGGAGTGATGGGATTGAGCTCAGGACTTTTCTTTTTGTATTCACTTTTTGTATTACCCAGCTAGGTTACAATGCTGCCGCCCATCCCATGTGTTCCCTATTAAGGGTTAACAAGTATATAGGGTGTATATAAAAAAAAAATACCCCTTTCTGTCTCAGATATTTTTGCCAGAAGCTCAAGGAAGCAAGGTAAAGGGTCAGAGTAGGACCAGTCTAGGGGGGTCTGCCTTGACGTTGGTAGGCAGGCATTCCCTTCAGTGGCCATTGGAGTAACTAAATGACCTCCATTTGTTTACATATACATAGGGATTAAGGAGAGCGCACGGGTATCTTTTCTTTGGCAAGAAACCACTGCTGAACTATATTATAGAATAGAATAAGGAAGAACCAAACATTTAATAACTTAATTGGTTATAGTGCTTTTTTCTTTTTTTAACAATTCGTGTAAACTTTGTTTTACTCTTACCAGTTTATAAGAAATCCAACGCACAGAAGACACCTTATCACCACAAAGATTCAAAGCAATTGGCAGCAAGTAATCATAAATATCTCTGGCACTGTACAGTTCAAGAAGAAAAATCAACTGCCTATTGAAAAACGAAACAGAACACAGTGATAGAACTACATTCCAAAAACACACAGAGCACCACCACTTGAAGGAACAGTAAATGAGACATCTGTTACTAAGGCAATGCAGGCTTGTTTACACAAAAATACATCTAACCTGGTATATATTTTTGATATATGCCAGCTTCTAACAACTTAGACATGGTCAACAAATTGTCACTGTTTCATGAAAATACTTAAGGATGGAATGAATATCCGGTATTAAATACAACTTTACTTCTATTTATTAAGGAAAAAAGTTTTTTTTTCTTTTCAACGGATCCAGGAATTAAATTCAAAAACTTTATTTCATATTCCATAAGAGTGTATAGTGTTATTGAAAGAAATGCCGTGCAGTCTTTAGTGTTGCAATATCATATTTTGATGCCATATCCCTCTTTACCAACAATGGCCAGGGGAGAGAAGGTGAACTCTAACACAGACGGTTTTCCTGGTTCTCAATCAGAGCAACTATGGCATATGTAGCTGCGATTAAGGTTGTTCCTGCTAGAGTAGTAAAAGAATGGAGTGTCAACCGGTCACTTAAAGCTGTACTTCATAAATATATTAGCATATCTATATTTTTTTATAGAAATAAATACTAGATTACATACTCTGCTAGCTCTGCCCTGAATCGCCAGTTCCGACAGTTGTCAGTCACCAGGAACTCTTGCAGCTGATAAAGATATTCCCTTCTTTTATCTGGCGGGAGAAGCTAGGACACAAGGCAAATTGATAAAGATAAATATATTTAAAATTAACATGTAAAATTGAAGACTCTGCTAAAATACAAAAAACAAAAACAAATTACACACACACTTTCTTTTTTAAATACAGTAAACATCATGCACAAAATTATTATATACAGAATATCACAATTATGTACAACTGTAAGCACTGAGAGTAACTAAGGACTTTCTAGATATTAATACACCCTGCAACAAGGCTTAGGTCAGTTGATGATCTTCAAAGCATATACTTAATTCTATAAAAGTAAATCTTATGTACTACATAATGGAACAGAACTAAAGGGAATGTGGTTGGAAAGAGGTGTTTACTTAAATGAAAAAAAACAAAAACACAAAATATCCAATCTTGTCAGAACTGCCCTGAAATAATGTGCATTTGGCTATCCTAATTAGAAGCAAGCAATACCAGAAAGAACATAAAGGGATAAAATATACCTTTAGAAAATCATAGAGATGTTTCAGCACTCCTATTCTGACTTCATCAAGATCTTTCAGAAACCCATTAAATATAGGAAGTAAATCAGCAGCTGTCAGGGAGTCTCCAAGGATTGATGCCAGCTCGTGGATGGAAAAGGCCAACGTCCTTCGCACTTTCCACTGAAAACAGTAAAGGGATTAGAAGAAAAATTAAAGGAGCATTCAGAAAGTAATTTCTTAGTATTTCTTAGAAAGACTGTGATAAACACTATAAAGCTCCAAGATGACCGTGATTTAAGGCTTTCTGCATTAAGCAAGTGATACTTTGTATGCAAAACAGAGTATTGTGGAAGTACTGAAAAAATCTCTTTTGGAAACATGCAATTTTACTTTTCTATTTGTTGATTCATTTGCTGATGATGTGAAAAATGGTACTTCTCACTCAATTTCCTCCTCATTCCCTATACATCTTACAAGTGGCTGCAGTTATCCTTTAATTCTCTCTCGCCGTCACCTTCACATTCCCACTGCTTTCCTATGGGGAGATCCAAATGAGAGTGCGGCCATTGCCTCGCTGGTGTGGAATGGAGTATATTGGTGTTATGGCAATGTATGATCATATACTCATAGTAATCTGATCATCAAAATTTTCTTCACAGCTCCTAGCAAGAATGTGTTCATTTAACCAGCTCCTTAACTTTTTTTACCCTGTGCCTCATCATCTTATAATGCACACATGCTGGGCTGTCATGGCTAATGTCTGTGGGTCTCCTAACTGAGTAATCAGTTTTACCTTTTCCTCATTAACAGGCAACCTGCAGGCAATATGGCAGAATTCATGGTCAGCCGATTCCCATGAGTGGTAAGAGTAAGGTTTTGCCCGGATAGTCCCCCTGCATGTAGGCATACCGGTTCCGATGTGTGCTTCTACCGCTGCAGCCAACTACAAGGGCCGGCTTCATCACCCCTGGGGCTCTGAGGTTCTCGCTGATCTGGTTTGGCTTCCACTGGTGACGGCCTGAGGTGGCAACAAGAGGTTGTTGCTTGTGTCTCGCTGCCGTGGGGTTGTGCTGCTAGAGACTCTCAGACCTAAGTGGTCGGTGAGCCACCGAAGGGGCGTTAGACAGGGCCTGCTATCTGAGAGAGCCCCTCCTGCACTCTGCTTCAAAATCCTGTCGCCACTTTTCCAGGATAGGAAGGTTGAGTACTGCACAGGAATGGTTATTGGCGCTGGGTATCTCCCCTTGGTTGGATTCGGCTGCACGGCAACTGTCTTACACAGCCCTGAGGGGGACATGGCGACTAATGCAGGTATGAAACACATACCTGCACTTTGGATTTTTTTCCCACTCCCCACGCCATCCATGCTTGTTGGCTACAGAGTATATTCGGGCAAATCCTCTGATTTGTCAGCTTTTAGGGTATCCCTGCGTGCACCAAGGTGCCCTCTGTCATGCAGTAGCATGCAGTAGTTATAGCCGATTTTGTCATTGGAGTAACTAAATGACCTCCATTTGTTTAAATATACATAGGGATTAAGGAGAGAGCACAGGTAACTTTCTTTTGTTTTTACTTTATGTATTGCGGCTGATGTGTAGTGTGGTCGTTGCCACCCAGGAGTGACGGGTGTGAGCGCAGGACTTATCTTTTTGTATTTGTACCCATCAGAAGCAGTTGTCAAACAATTATATTAGAATCTGGTTGTACATACCTGCATGTCAGCTGCCAAAGTCTCATAAGTATCCCTGAGACAATGCCAGTTCTGTCTGCCCAATGTTAGAGCCACTCCTGGAATGCTATAGGCACAATGTTTGGCAATCTCTGTGTCAACAGTCTGAGCACGGGATGGGTCAGTCATGGATAAATACTGATCCAATAAGGCTTGAGGTACAACATCCTAGAAGAATACAGACATGCTGACATTGTAACATACACATTTTTATGATCAAAATTATAATGAATGTGTGTACTTTGAAACACATACCTGCACTTTGGATTTTTTTTCATCTTCAGGGCTAAAGCTGCCACTAGTGCTCAAGTCAGAGTCATCATGTATGTAGCGCAATGTTGACTGCATACACTATGGAGGACATGTCTAGTCAGCTTTAAATAATATAAACCCACATACATGAAATATGTTTAAGCCACACAGTAGTGTTTAATTATGCATGTCATTTCTAGATCTCCCAAAAAACTGAAAACCGCAAAATCTCTATAGTCTTTTTACCTCTACAGAATCGCTGATCAAAGGACCAGAGTCTTCACATGCAATTTTGCAGTTTATTTTCCCAGTTTCAATACGATCATTTCTGTAGAGGATTTCCCGGTTCAAGTGAGAGGATTTTGGATCTTCCTGAGTTCCTAATTTGGATGCTTTGAGGGCTGCTGTGAGTACATCAACTTGTGCTACACAAAAACAAAAAGTAAAACTTACTACTACTACTACCAACAAAGTTACATAATTAACATCATGGATCTATTTCCCCCATCTACTCCAAAACAAAACAATTTATTATATGCAATTAACAGCGAGTTGTGGTCAACTTACAGACGTATGCTATTTAGACAAAATCAAAGTGAAATAATTTTCGGACACATTTTTAGAAATAGAGGAATGAAATGCAAAAAACCTTACCTTAAACATTTTAAAGCAGTTTTACTAAAGAGGCTGTCCCGAGGCCATCACTTGCCTGTCCCCCAACTTTAAGTATTTACTGGTCCATCAAATGAGATACTCTTGAGCACTTACTGCTGTACTGAGATGTCCAAGATATTTACAGAATGAGGCATGGTTATCTAATTAGAGAGCCATAACTTTGTTTACTTAGTGCTTGCCCCCTATGTTTGCTGCCACTTTCTCATGCCATCACTAGAAAAAAAAACTCCCTATTTCAAATAGTCACCAGACTGCTGGAGCCACTGCATCTGCCATCTCTCTACCTTCCCTTACTGTGATTTAAATCCAATGCCAAATACACACACAAATCTAGCAACCCCTAATTACAAAGCTTACTAATTTTAGTTCACTAAACTGCATTTTGGAAAGGTTTCTCTTGTTTGCATGAACCCTTTGAGGGGTGAGTAAACTTCAATAAAAGACTCTAAAAGTTATGTCAGCTAGATTAGCAGAAGGATGTCTAACCTTTCCGAATATATTCTATATCCACGACACAGTAATGTTTTCACACTATTTAGAATGGGGAAACAACAATTCAAAGAGGACAGCTTGGTATTTATATGAAAAGAGTTTATGTAATACCTTAGACCCTTTCGATTTTTTCTGAATAGATAAAAAAAACTTTTTAAAAACCTATTGATAATTAAAATTATCTTCCACACTTTTCAATCTATAATACCAATAAAGAAATATTTTTTTGCTCAAAATCAAATTTCCTCAAATGCCCCTTTGGAAATTTTTAAATTTTTCATTCAAGATCCTAATTTATCTGGTTGGTTAGTTAGAGATGGGGTAAAAATTCAGGACCCATACGATACCTCTGGTATTTGCAGCTTTCCAAGTATTAGAGAAAAAATTGGACTTGTAAATAAAGAACATTTCACTTACTTAAAGGACCATTCTAGGCACCCAGACCACTTCAGCTTAATGAAGTGGTCTGGGTGCCAGGTCCAGCTAGGGTTAACCCATTTTTTTTAATAAACATAGTTTCAGAGAAACTGCTATGTTTATAAATGAGTTAAGCCTTCCCCCAAAGCCTCTAGCGGCTGTCTCATTGACAGCCGCTAGAGGCGCTTGCATGATTCTCACTGTGAAAATCACAGTGAGAGCACGCAAGCGTCCATAGGTAAGCATTGATAATGCTTTCCTATGCGACCAGCTGAATGCGCGGGCAGCTCTTGCCACGCGTGCGCATTCAGCCGACGGGGAGGATCGGAGGAGGAGAGCTCCCCGCCCAGCGCTGGCACCCTCAGGGCACTATAGTGCCAGGAACAAGAGTATGTTTTCCTGGCACTATAGTGGTCCTTTAAGAATAAAAACTTTCTTTATAAGGTAACTATAATTAAAGACTGCCTTTTGACAAGATCCTTTTTTGGGGAGGTTAAAAATAAATCTTCAGCAGTTAAAAGATCTTTGGAGGTATTAAACCAAGAAATAAAATACAATATGATCTCTAGATGGGAAACCGAATTAAATAAATCTTTTTCATGTCAGGATTGGTCAAAAGTATTTGAAGCTTTAAGGAAAATGGTCCATTGTATAAATATACAGGAAACATACCTTAAACTTATCCATAGATGGTATTTGGTCCCTACGAAAATATGTAAATTCCAAGCTAACTCCTCAAATATCTGTTGGCGTTGTAATAGTGAATGTGACTCATTCAAATGTGTGGTGGGACTGTACAGGATTAGATTTCTTAAATTGGAATTATCTAAACTTTTTATTGATTTAAAATTAAATATTATGCTATCTCCAGAAAGATTCTTATTCAATTTAGACTTCCCAAAATTGGATAAATTATCTAAAAATTTGACTATACATGTCTTGATGGATGTCAAACTGTGCATTGCTAGAAAATGGAAACAGAATATATCTCCCTCTATAATAGAGATCAAAACCCAGATTCAATATCAAGTTTTAATGGAAAAGGCAGTATATTTTAAGGATAACAATATCTGTTCCTACAATAAGATTTGGGGGAAATGGTTTGACTACTACAAAGAATCAACTATCTATAACCCTGGCATAGATGCATTTGTAAGATAAAACACGGATAATAACATTCCGAAAGTGGGTCTAACTCTAAATGATTATTTTAAAGAAGTGACACCTACTCTGTCCAACTCCCAGATCCCGATGGCTGACCCGATATCTTTATGTTGTATGTCTTTTTATGTAGCTTTGTATGCACTGTAATGTAATGTAATATTCATATTTTGATGTTGATCTTATGATGAAAAAACTATCACTGTTTAATACTTGTTTAATCTTCAAAATTATAATAAAAAATGAAAAAAAAAAAACTTCAATAAAAGAGCTTTGGAGGGGAAACATTTTCATATCTTGGTTCCATTGCTTCACATCTTTTTCCCCTACATGGCAGTGTCCAAAATTGTATCCCCTCTTATAATTTGTAGTTTACATTACAAGGTAGGGATTCTAAATATTGTTTTAATAGAGTAATAGATAAACTTTTTTTTTTATCAGAAAAAGTGTTCTAATGTGACTAAAGGATACTCACTTGTATCACTCATTGAAGAATTGTTAAAAGGGGTGGGAACTCATGGTTGTTAAAGTAGGAAAATATGCAGGGGCAAGTCTTGAAAACCATGCAGAGTGGAAGCAAAGTGCTACAGATACTTATCTTACTCAGTTTTTTTACTGCTATGACTGGCCTGACAGTTTAAATTGACTCTCAGATAGTCTTGTCTAATTGGGGATAACCTGGTGCACAGGCTTATACCACTCTAGCAGCATTTTTTTTTCTTAGTGCAGTCCTAATACTTTGGAGGACTACCTGTTATCGACGCGCGGGGGAGGTGGCCTTAGTCCCACATGGAGCAGCTTCACTGACTTCTACCATGTGCTGCTTGGAAGACATGCTAAGTGCTACAAGCGGAACCAAGACGGCAGCTGTTACCTCACTGGAAAGAGGCCTGTAACTATTACAGGTGGACTCTGCTCAGTATCTCTGATGACATTTGCGCCAGGCTCTGGGCAAAGCTAAAAATAGGGGGCATCCCCAATTCTGAGTCCCCAGCTCTCCAAAGCGGAATTCCAGATTTTACACATACCAACGTATCGCTGCAACTCACCTGGGCCGTGAACCTGTGGCGACCTTTAGACTGTAAGCTCATATTTCCCTCTTTGGTGCAGACTATCACTGGAAAGAAGGAAGTGGATGCTCCCAGAGTGTGGGTATTAGGGTGAGTTCTGCGGAAGAATGGTAGTGATGAACCTAACCACCCCAAGCCTAGTTATGTGGCCCTGGTCTCCGCAAGAGAGTGCTCTCAGAGACAGGAATTGGATGACTTACCCAATAATGGCCTGAGCTATCAGGGACTCTCTGTATACCTCGAAGGCTATGCCTCCTTGAAGGATTCTAGGCATTTTCTCATACTGCTCTTTCCTGATGCTCCAGTGGGGCTTTACTTGTTTTCTTTTTACATGTCAGCTGAGCATTATAAAGTTTTAAATGGTGCACAAGTCTTAACACTGTTCTCATGTTTTCTGATGTCATGTCTTTACCTGCCTGTGATAATGTTACTGCACTGCAAATAAATAGATAGGAAATGATATACAGGTACCTTTAACATCAGGGTCATCTATATGAGGCTCCAAATTTTCTATCATTTCCTCAAGCTCCTTTCTTGTGGCCATTGTAATATTAGGAGATCCGGGAGATGATGCCTTTTGAACAGTCTGACTACTTTCCGTGCTACGAGATTCTGCTTGTGTTCGCTTCAGTTCCAAATCAATATCAATCTCGGGGATGGGAGTCCTCCAGAAATGGAACGAATTGTACAATTCTTGCTCAGTAACAGGGCTCTCTGGTGAAGCCAACTCCAACACCTCATGTGCATTAGACTCATTAGAGATCTGTTCTGGTTTGCTGGAGTCAGCTGTAGATTGCAAAGGCAAAGTGCAACATGATAGAAAGTCAACTTGTTGACTACTGTCCTTGGAAGATTCACCTGCTACATCTTCCAAGCTCGATTCTAACTTCACAGTAAAATTAACATCACTGTCTGTGCAAAGCTTGTCTATCAACGGGACATCATCTTCCTCCTCCACACTTGAAGCATCTTCTGCCAGAACCTCTTTAGCTGTCCTGCTGAAGAAAATGTATCTTTTTAAAAACAGAATCATCGTGAATGTGAACCTAAGAATTAATTTTAGTAAAGAGTCCCCAAACACAGTATACCAATAACACTATACATACAAAATATTACACTGCAGATTTAAAAAAAATAAAAATGAATAAAAAAAATCCCTTGAAAGGACCACTATAGTGCCAGGAAAACACTTGTTTTCCTGGCTCTATAGGGTCTCTAGGTCCCCCCCAACTGCAGGCCCCCCCTCCCACCGGGCTGTAGGTGGTGTAAGGGGTTAAATTTACCTCTTTTCCAGCACCGGGCTGGGGACTCTCCTCCTCCTTCTCGTCGTCATTGGCTGAACGCGCGCGCGCGCATTCAGTCAGTCCATAGGAAAGCATTCTCAATGCTTTCCTATGGACGCTGGCGTCTTCTCACTGTGAAAATCACAGTGAGAAGCGCGGAAGCTCCTCTAGCGGCTGTCAATGAGACAGCCACTAGAGGCTGGATTAACCCTATTATAAACACAGCAGTTTCAGATGCTATGTTTATAGAAGAAAGGGTTAATCCTAGCTGGACCTGGCACCCAGACCACTTCATTAAGCTGAAGTGGTCTGGGTGCCTATAGTGGTCCTTTAAGCAAGCAAATTTACAATATGAATTTATAAAAAGAATTTATGGAAACTTGTTTGTTTACAAGAGGGTTAACCAGTACCGTGCACATACCACAAGTGTCTGAAATGAAAACATAACAAAACTTTGAGGGTTTTTTTTTTTTTTTTACAGGACAATTCAAAAGTGTGTTTTAGAAAGTAGAAGAGAGAGGTGTATGTATAATTATCATCCTTGAGTGCAAGAGTTACTTTTGTCCCCGACAGCATAGTTGTACCAGAAACAAAGTATGACTATAGACTACCTGTCAAAGAAAAACTACAGAAACCAGACCCACTTCAACGGATTTAAATGGTTATGATGCCAGGAGTTTGTAGGAGCCTGGGACGCATTGCTGCTACCATTTAGTAAAGATAATGGGTCCAGACTGTCTGATGCCAAGCTTCAAAAGACCATATGGTGAAGATATGCTTCTGCCTTGCATGATACCAGGGAACGAGGAAGTTATTTTCTTCAAACACTCAGCAGGTGCTCTTGACTTATCAATACCCAGTACCCTTGGTATCGCATGAAGTAGAGCAAAATTCTAACACTGACATTTTGTCATCAGAGGCCAGGCTTGAGGGGATCAAGAAACTCTAATAAACGGAGTAAACAGTTTAGCAGTGATGTGGTACCCGTTGACCAGGCATCATAATCACTTTAATATATGCCTACAGTGCTCCATTATTTTAAAATCCTAAGTGAATAGGAAAGACACCCTTTAGCTTAGAGATTCAGAATACAATTGGCTCCTTATGGTCAACAGTAAAATATTCCAAGACAGTGAATTATTACATAAATTAAAATCGGTAAGATAATGTATAGCTGTGAGGGCTTTATAAAATATATTTCCTGCAAGAATTTTGTCTTATGTGGTTTAACACGGTCAGTATGCAGTTTCTCAAGAGATTCACAATGGGCACACTGCATAGAGGTACCACCCAAGTCTTTTGTAACATTTCATTTGATCTCTAACATTACAGCATAGTTAATTCAGTAAGAAAAAGACAAAACATAAAAAAAACAACCTAATACTCTATACTCCCCTCCCCCCCATGCACAGAGCCATGCTGAAGAGCTATCACATGAGAAAAGCGCTCTGCATTTGGTCTGCATATTTAATTGCAAATTTAATGACAAGATTGCACTGCGTTTGCTTGTGACTTGTCTCGAGTATCTTCATAAGTGGGATACCAGAGGGAAAAATGGCCAGGAAAGAGTTCTGTACACGTGTTTAGAGGCTGCTTTTGGGATAGTGTGTGTGTTTCGGGGCTGTAGAGAGTGTGTGCATGTGTTGTAGTTTGCGTAGAAGGAAAACAGTGTGTTGTATTGGAGACACAGCAAGTGTGTGCATAAGTGCTGCAGAGTATGCATGTGTAGGTGACATTGTGTGTAGAGGCTGTAAAGTGTGTATAGGGGGATGTATTTGTGAATATTTGTATGTTTTACCTGCTCTCCGTTCGGGAGAGCTCATACGAACGGGGACCACCTCAATACTCCATTTAGAATGTTTATACCTCACCAACGAGGTGTCAAATTCACAAACCGAAAGGGAAGCCTTGGCGTGTGCCGACCCTGGGTGGCGGCCTGTTCGTTAGACAAACGCTATCTAGGGGGAGCATTCGTGGATTGCTTCCCAAACGAGGACCTCCCCAGTGTCCCTTGGAGTGCTCACACCAATCACTTAGAACTTTGGCAACTTGCAACATAAGTGTGAAACCACAAGGGAAGTAATTAATGAGTGCTTCCCTGGGCGGCCACCGTTTGTATAGATGAACGGCGGCCGGGGAAGCATTCGTGTCCCAAAAGGAGACACTTCCCTTGCCGGGTTTCACCCAGAGACCCCATGCGCTGGGACTCCCAGGTACAGGGGCTCATGGGATAAAGAACCCCTGGTCCACGAAGGATGGTGGCGGGAACTGGGGACAAAGGGACTGGAGTTCCTGTCACACGCACAGGCCTCTGGGATCGGGAAAACCCTGGGAAGGGGGCATGGAGTTGTGGGAACACGGGACAAAGGGGATTGGGGTTCTGGTTCAGTTATGCGACCCCCGGTAGGGGACATTCTCGTTGTGTATGATCCACCCTTTGCATGGGGAAAGTATAAAGCAGAGTGTGGCGAATAAAGTTTTGTTGTACCTCTGGAACTGTGTGTCATCCAGTTACTGGGGGAAGATGAGTCTCTTGCTTCTGTATTAGCAGAGGTAACCGGTTGGGTTACCCTCTGCCCGCTACAGTGTGTTTTTGCGTACAGGGGATTTAGTATGTGTGTAGAAGGGATCCAAAGTGTATATAGGGGATGTAGTGTGTATGACATATGTAGTGTGTAGGTGGTGCAGTGTGTTTCTAAAGGCGTGTGGAAGGGTGCAGTGTGTGGTTAAAAATATATTTTATTATTGTCAGTAATGTTTCATAGTATTTTTATTTATGCCCCTCCCCTTTTATATTTTCAGAGAGGTGAGACACACTGTAGATCCTGGTGGTCCAATGGAGGTGTTACTCTGGCTGCAGGCAGAGTTCACTCCTCTTGCAAGATTCTCGGAGCGTTGCAGTGGTAACCGCGGCAACATTCCGAATCAATTCTTGCTCACAAGAGGAATAGATCATCCCTGCACCCCATCTCCCCTCGCTCTGCGGGCCTGTGAGAGAGCTCTTTGATCTCCCCACCAGCCCTAGTGGGCTCACAGCAGGGCCGGCTTTGCATGAGCCGACAGAGGCGATCAAAGGATCACCCCCCACAGACCTAGGCCTGTGGTCATCGCTGCCCTCCGGGCATTTGCCCAATGGCCAGTCTGGGCTGATGGATGGTCAAGATCCTATTACAATTGCAATGTCACAACTGTTAAGATAAACAATTAGCTTTACAAGTTCAGCATTGGCATTGTTGCTTTATTTCAAACAACTTTCAAATCCACAAAAGTGCATACCTCTCATCGTTTTCACTTTGTTGATCGTCCTTTGAGCTTTTACACTCCTCTTCTTTGAAATACTGACCAGAATTTGATGGATTTGCAAATGTGGATATAAAAGGCCCAAGGGACTGAAAGGCAGCTTGACGAACCTAAAAAAATAAAGCAAGCAACAATCTTGATTATAAGATTATAAAAATATATGAGGGTAGTGTTCCAAGTACTTTAGTGTATTTGTAACAATAGGTGGTTTATTTGCACAGCGAATAAAAAACAAAATAGAATCTTAAAAAGTAACGTTAAAAGAACAATCTAAGCACTTTAACGGATTAAAGTTGTTATAGTGTCTAAAGTCTGTGTCCACCAGGTCCTGCATCGCCATTTTGTAGAGACAGTTGGCCCCTGGCTGTCTGCCGGCCAGTCTCCACTGATAAAATGGCTGACGTGGAGGTTCTGCAGTCTGCCATACCAGTCAGGGCAGTGATGGCTGAGAATGCTTCTGTTTATTTGCATCTGTTTGCATAATGCATAAATACAAAGGATATTCAAACTAGACAAAAAAATAAAAAATAAAAAATAAAAAACTAGAAAAAAAAAAGAAAGAAAAAGAAAAAAAAAGACAAAAAACAAATCAAGTAGCAGATTAAAGAAAAGAAAATAAAACAGGTTTGAGAACACAGATAATGGATGGAGGGGGAATTTACCAGATAGCACATGTACATTCAACATACAATACTTTCAGGAAAGAAAAGATGTGGCAGTAAACAACTTACCCATCTGGAAGGGTCACTGATTAGGTTAATAAAAAGAGCAGACAGTTTAGTGCGACGAAGTTCTTGAGAGGTTGTGCAAGAAACTGCCATAAAACATTCTGCACAGGCTTTACGCACACCCCAAACGTTATCAGAACACAACTGGAAAAACCGTGGAAGCTGTTGCAAAAAACAAAACAAAATAGTGGATTTTTTTTTTTAACAAAAACTATGTACATCAGTTTATTTTTCACATACTTACGGCAAAACTTCAGTAAAAACAATAACCAATTAAATAAAGTGTACCACAACCAGAGTTAGTCAAATAAATTACAAATTTAGAAAACAAACCTGGGTCAAAAAATTGAGGTTAAAATAGCCAATATGTGACTAAAGCAGTCTAGGAGAACGTCTCCATACAAGCATTTTTCCTTAAATTTTGTCACTCACATTTTAATTTACTAAAATTACAAGATTAACTCCAAAGTGATTCATAAACAATTTACTCCAAAAACAATTGGGGAGGAACTGAGAATTAAGTTTACCCAAAAGATATTATCAACCTATGGTAGTGAGAATTCCTACTAATTTCTAGATGCTCACCCAGTCTCCACTCTTTCAAAAGATCGTTAAAAACCCACTTCTTCATAAAAGCGTATCAATTAAACGGTTAGTAGCTCCTGACTGATTCCTCTTCTGCAACTGTCAGTCTAATACTATCCTTACCTTTTTGTGCCATTTTACCCCACTCCCTCTAGCATGTAAGCTCATTGAGCAGGGCCCTCAACCTCTTTGTTCCTGTGTGTCCAACTTGTCTGGTTACAACTACATGTCTGTTCGTCCACCCATTGTAAAGCGCTGCGGAATTTGACGGCGCGCTATAAATATCATAATAATAGTAGAAACTGAAGAGTCAGTTTTGGGCATAATAAAAAAGGAACTGCCACTTTTAACACATTCAAACAAGTAGATAAAAGTTTGCTTATGATTAGGTTAAACTTTATATATCATATGCAAGTTAGTTAATTCTCCAAGTGCACATGTATGTATAGAGAAATCTCAGCTCGACACAGAAGCACGCAAGCCCAGGGCACCAAGGGGTGGTAAATCTCTGAAAATGCTTAATCGTGGCAGTTTTATTTTTCCATGATTACCATCGCTATTTTAGTCACCCCAGTAAATGCTGAAATATTATTTACTGGGGTGAAAGAATAAATGCAAAACAAACAGATGCCTACATCTAACCAAAGTAATTGAATAATTCTGACCTATCACAATGAACAAAAAAAAATCAAGTAGAATCGTTTTTATCAAAAGGTCACTGCAAGTCGGACTACTTTTTATAATTGGCACTTCTGAATATCATATGCTTACCAACATTTTCTCAGTTGCATCTTGTCCCACAACACTGCAAATATCTCCAAAATTGGCAGCACAGACCTACAATGCATAGTAAAAGGAAAAAGATCATCCACTGTTAAGCGCAACAGAATTTGTTGGCGCTATATAAATAATAATATACTCAATTGATCTGATCAATTAAAAAAATAAATAGGTGCAAATAAAAACTATTTGGGGACTTGACATCTTGTGTGCTAGATGTGGATGGGAAAGCTACACAAAGTGTCATCCAGTGTCTTTGCGTTTGCCAACTTGGAGGAGTAAGAGACAGTCTTTAGACTGATCTATAAATTTACTGAGATTTGTAAGCACAATGAATACACATTAAATGAACACCAGCCGGATAGTGACCCTATCATCTGCAGGATTAGTGGATGAAAGGCTCACTGTTTAGCTATGACAAAGACTTCACCAGTAGAGGCAAAGATGCAAGTAAGGATCTGGGCAGTTTTAAGAAATTTATCTGCTCCATTTCAAATTTACCTAAAAACTAAACTGATGTTTACATGATACAATTTTTTCTGTATACAACCAGCACATAAAAATCTTTACATCCTTGGGAAGGTGTTTCAGATGTACCCTAAAGACATAACATTCAAGTTTTCATTATTTGCCAGAACACTTCTCACTAGCAAGATCTGCCTATACAGACAGACATTGATCTCTACCTGTCTGTATAAGCAGATCTTGCCATCGATCTCTCGATCTAGCTTGCTTGCTGTATAGGCAGATCTTGCGATCTCTCGCTCTATATCTACACACACACTTTCAGAGAAAATGCCGTTTTTACATTGATGCCAAGTAAGCACAATGTGCAGTACCTATATTCAGCGTCTTCACGCTCTGCATGGAAGCGCTGGATGATCCCCACAGATGCATTGATTCAATGAATCTGAGGAGATTGTGATTGGCACCGGGTGTCATTTTGCTGTGCATGCACAATAGCCTCTCAATGTTTTCCTATGGGAAAGCACTGGCTTGGCTGAGATCATGATCAGAGTCCATCCAGCCTGCTTGCCTTTGGGAGAGCTGGAGTCGATCCTTTCCCTGGGGGGTCCAGTGTGGCTGCTGTCGTCTTCAAGCTCTTCTTGCTCTGCTACCTAGAGCGCTGTATAATGATGTCAGAGTGGCGTCATATTACGGCTCCTGGCATCACTAAACAGACCGCGAAACAGACTTTTTTCTTTTGCTGTCACTCATTTATTCACAGAAACCCATATTCACATATGGCTGGGCCCAGATTAATGATTCATCATTAAATATAGGCACCCAGACCACTACAGCTCATTGAAGTGTCTGGGTGGAGCGTCCCTATTGCACTTAGTGCTATAATGTTAAACATTGTAGTTTCAGAGAAACTGCAATATTTACATTGCAGCACTAAGTCTGCCTCTAGTGGCTGTCTCCCAGACACTGCATCCAAACGGACCTTTTCCGTTAACTGACGTCCTTGCGCTATCTTAGATTTGCATTGATTCAATGATTTTCTATGGGGAGGTCTAATGTGCACCATTTGCATATGGGGAGGTCTAATGCGCATTAGCGCTTGCTCGTTGCAGACAGAGGAGGAGGCGGAGCCATGACCCGAGGGACATCAGCGCTGGGATCAGGTAAGTAAACACTTTTTGACCCTTTATTTACCGCGGAGGGGGAAGGCAGACTGAGCTATAGTGCCACACTTATAGTATCCATTTAATGTTCAGATATGACTATTATAGGGCATTACTGCACTGTTTTGAGTGGGACAGTTTTTTTCCCTCTTATGCTCTACAAATATTTAGGTGGACTTAATAAAAATCCAGTTAAATAGTCTCTGCAACACAATATTTTATAGCCATATTTAATATGCAAATGTATTTGTAGTTCTAATACAGATACCGTATTTATCTGGCTAGTGGTTCCAGTGCTAGGGGAAATGGTAGAAATGCAACTTCCTACAGATAGCCAGCAACTGAATGTTAAGTAACTTATTTTGCTATATCTGTAAAATATCAGCCAGCTGACTGACAAAATATTTGAAAATATTTGCAAAACGTCTTAAAAAAAAAAATAACGAATATCAATCTTTCCTTCACTACTGTTTGGAAAGTTATTTTGTTATAACACTGTCCACTTTTCATAATCACCTTATTTAAAACACTGTATTAACTTTCTTCCACAGAAAAAGGTTACAGGAAGGAGACAAGGAAATACCACAAGTACTACAAAAAGGCAAGTGGAGAACAAAAGCGAGATAAGAATGAGAACAAAGTTAATATTAAGATATAAGAATTACAATGGGGAAGCAGTAACCCAGACACAGGAAGATATAAGGAAACACACGAGTTAGCAAGGGTAACATTTACAAATTGCTAGACATGTAAATGGAATATGAACAAAAAACAGATAAGGTCAGGAGGAATGTGTCAGGCTGGAATATTGTGGGGAATAACACCTTTAAATTAATATGCAATACAAAATAAAAAATAAAAAAAGGAGAACTTAAAATAAAAGAACCAGCCCTATACAAATATACAATTTACAACGTAACTTTTAATGAGTGAAATGGAAATCAGGTGCTATTTGTAAATGTAAAGTCACTTAGGCAAAGAACACACACCCAAGTCAGTAAAAGGGAAGACTCCGATACAAACTACAATAATATGAAACACTTTGAATCTTACATAGGCACAAGCTATATGGACGTAATAATTTGCAAAACAATGATACAATGTAACACAACTGACTCATCTACTAGACACTGAACATATCTAGCATACATTTCTTACACTTGGACTAACTTTCTAATATAAGAGAAATGAAAGATATAAACTGTGCCTTCAATGGTATCCATTATTCCCCACACACCAAGCTTAACCTAACTATAAATACATAGGGAGTAGCCTATTCAGTGATTGATTAAAACAGAATTGTATAGTGTGGAGTCCAGATCTAGTTAAATCAAGAATAATAAGTTACAGGTATAAAAATTAGCATTGTCCTCAATAGCATTAGGACTTGCAAACTATAAAGATCAGTACCGATGCATGTTTGACCTCTAAATGGACTCTTCCAGGGGAGGCTCCAGTAGCTTTTCACTATTCAACTATTTTCTCGGTCTTAGTCTTTCTGATGTCAATATTCTATTCAAAGTCTTAAATGCTAACCCATCTTAACAACCCACAATCAATGCAGTAAACAGGGAGAAAGACAAACCTTGCGAACATGGAACATTCTGCAATCGCAGCACATCTCACAAAACCGTGGCAAGATGAGCCTTTCGGTTATATCTCTGCCCACCATAGAGGCCATTTTACACATAATCTAGGAGGAAAGCAAAACAATAGCAACAGAAAAAAATATATAAATAAAGGACACACATCAAACAATATATATTTAACTAGAAAGGCTACAATTTCTGGGGAAATTGTGTGAAGTGTTCTTGCCTCCACCAGTAGCCTACAACTGGAGTGGGCGGAGTAACTGTTATTTATATAGCACATTTAATTGCAACGTTGTTGCACAGTTACATTAAAACATACATTTATAAAAACACTAGCAGGTGTTCAAAAGGCCCTGTCTATGACATCACTTGCTGCTGCAGCCTGGCACAGGTCAGAGTATTTTGGCGGTTGCCATCTTCAAACGGTCGTATTTTAAAAACTATAAATCCTACAGCGAAGAGCTTTATATTGTGAGAATCACAAGACCCAGACCTACATTTTGATGCATGGTATGTCTCTGAAGTATTAAAAATGAAGGCACAGTCACAGTTTAGAAATTGCACTTCAAATTTGAGCTTTGTAGAGTGACGTTTCAATGAATGTCAATGGACGGCGTTAGTTGCAAACAAATGATTACATTGTGAAAACTATCAGGACTATGGCTTAGCCGTTGACATGTTTAGTGGCAGCAGGGATAGCTGAATGTTTTGATATAAGATTTGTGTAGGTGGGCCTGAAAATAAGGGAGTGGTGGCAGTTTAGAAATCATGTCCTGATTTCTCAGCTTTTGCCAGCTCCCACTCTAGCTTTGCCATTCATTCCTATGGGACATATTTCGCCACAAGAACGACGATATTCCGTGAACCATTCGGCGAAACGTTCCACAAAGTAATAGCAATCCGATCGGGAACAATCTGCACGTTTTGGTAAATTTTTGTCTATGTAGTGTAAAAACTGTGGGAGGAGTTAGGGTGGCAAATTTGGCTATAATAAGAATAAGAATATATATGTGAGATAACATTAAGTGGTCTTGCTATGCAAGAACACTTAATTAAAAATGTTTATGATTAGGGAGCTACTGACTGGCTGTAGCCAATCAGTGCCTCCCTTGCCCAGCAGTACCCTGCTCTTCCTGTAACTCAGATTCAGAAGCCAGATGCTACCCGAGGGACCTGGAGATAAGCACTGGAGGCAACCTTTGGAGTTAAACTGTTCAAGAACGTTCTAACCCCTTAAATCAAGAGTGCACCCAGGGCCTCCTGGCACCATAACAACTTCATTAAGATTAAGCTGTTACAGTGCCCTGATAGCAGCACTTCCATAACTTACAACCAAACATTTTTCTACTTAATGTGCCATAACAAAGTGTCAAAACTTTGGACAATAGAGATACACTAGTGCAGTCATTCGCAGGAAAAGGGCACTTAAACTCACAGCCACTGCTTCTGTTTTGACATCATCATTGCTGTCTGGAGAGGTGAGATCTATGAGCACCGGGCACACTTTACTTTCAACATCAGTCCGTTCTATGAGCTCCTGTTCCAGAAGGACCAACAAAGCCGCCTGACTGGTTTTTCTGACCTGGAAAATCGCACAAGCCATCTCATAAGAACATACATTCTTAAAATACTCATGCATTACTTTCATCATGCAACTGAAGAAAAAAAAAAAATGCTTAGTAAACTCGACCAAGAAAAAGTAACTAACCACGTAAAGTACATTATGTACAGATCCATTGAAGAATGATAATTGTTTATAGTAACATTGCAATATATGCAAATAATAACCACAACTAAAATTACAATCTTACCTGATTGTTCTGGTCAGCCAGGTATCGCACTATAATCGGTAAAAGGTATTTGGAGAAAGCATGTGGAATAGATGGCCGGTTTTCTTGACAAAACATTGCAAGATGAGGCACTTGTTCCATGAGTTCTGCACGTACAGTGGGTTCTACTCAGAAATAAAATCACAGTCAATTACTTATCCTTAACCTTTTCAAATTCTTCCATTATCAGGACTCAAAATCTCTACTCTCTCTAAAACAAAATTAAAAAGGTCTGCTGTTACTCTGTTCCAATTAATGTAGCAGTATTCTCTCATTTACAACAGACTGACATTAAAGGGAAATCTTAATGATGTGACCTGGGTACAATGTCTTTTTAACACTGCAATGTAAAACACCACAGTAACTACTCTCTTGCAGCCCCATCACTAAGGAGTCAGAGAACAGCTGCTGGTATTCCAAACCTGTGCTCTGTGAGAGGAAGGTACACAATGGTGGTTTGCATCCACCAAAGGACTGGACTTCCAAGCACTTTAACCCATGATGGACACAAAGTATCATAAACCCCTTTCCTGCAATAAAAATAAACAGAAGGTGGACAAAACAGCACACTACCTACACACCACACACTTGTAAAGGCAGAACCCTTAGACTTATGGCCAGTGGATCCAAAACCAGTAGTCATAGCCCAGCAACATTCCGGGTTTTGTCAGGATCTCCATTGGAATAAAAAAGTTAAATATATAAATCCTGGACTGTTGCTGGGCCATGTGGACTGTTTATTTATAAACCACTGTTTTTGGAAACGGACCATAGATGATGGAGTTTATCACCAAACCTGGATTCATTTTAACTTAGGAAATACAAAGAAAAACAATCTAAAAATAAGTAGTTTATTTTAAAAGGGTTTAAAAACAGACTAATGCAGCAGTTCCCAATCTGTGTATCGAGATATTTTCCCGGTGCTATGATCATATGCCTCCCTCTCCCCTGCTGGTTCTTCAAGACTGGAGGGGAGATCAGAAATCTCCCTCAGTGGCCCGCTAGCAGTGTGAGTGCTCCACCAGGTTCTCCTCTCACAAGCTCTAAGCGTTTCCGCGGTTACCACAGCAACGCTCAAAATCTCGCGACAGTTAACTCTAGCAGCTCCTGATGCCCCTAGAGTTCACTCTCACCACTTGTGCCAACAATGGATATCAAAATTATTACTTTTAATAAAAAATAAAAGTATATATTTATATTGAATGCTTACCTATGGGAAGGTCTAAATCGCGTGCAGCCATTGCCGCGCATGCGCATTAGGTCTCCCATGTCGGCGGGGGAGGAGCATGAGCGGAGCCTGACCCAGCACCGAGGGACATCGGCGCTGGATTCAGGCAAGTGGCTGAAAGGGTTTTTACTTAAAAGAATTCATGCGCGAGGGATGCACTCCAGGAGCCTATAGTGCCAGGAAAACAGGTTTGTTTTCCTGGCACTATATGGTCCCTTTAAACATTTATCATATACCTGAATCTTCTGAGAGTCTAGAAACCCGTTCCAATACAGCAATACAATCCTTTTCATCATCACTGACTTCTTTTAAGGTGTCCAGCAGACTTCGGGCAACCATTTGTCTAGTTAAAAAAAGAAAATTTGATAAACAAAAAGCAAATGGTGTGTACACTCGTCTAAAATAGTAATCGAAAACACTACATTATTTCAACAAAGTCTTGCATATCAATAACCGTTTATTGATTTATGGTGACAGGTTATTGTTCTTAAATCCATTTGTGTCCCTAGTGTGTCAAAATCTTAAAAACAGAGCTCATCCATTCCTGAAAGTCAGAGAGCTGTGAGTTAAATTTCTCTGCTGACGTGGAGGGACTTTCAGGTGATGCTCCCATATAGATTAAAGAGATTACCATCTCTGTAATTATCGATGCTGGGTACAGCCATGTGCACCCAGCATGGAACATCACAGAAACAGGCAATAACACTGGACTTGCAATTGCTTGTTCCTGGTATGCAGTGTCTACTAGTCCCTCTACTTCAGCATACTATTTGCAATTCTCTGCTCTCTGATAGACTTTTTAAAGTGGAGCCCTTAGCCCTGCTTTTAGCCCATAACTTGTCAGTTTGGGGGCAGTAGCCTGGCACCATTACCAGTTTAACAAGCTGAAGAGTTTACGTGCAGTTTGGAAATTTTTAAGGAGGGAAAATAAATTCACAGTTTAAACAGCAAAGTGTAAAATTTGTTCTATAGGCTTAATTCTGAAAGAAATGATGTCTCTCCATTAATTTTACATTTATAAGACCATTAAAAACATCAAGTGGTTGAAGGATAAAATGACAAGTTAGAACTTTCAGACTACCCAGTGAAAATATCACAAGAAGCTACTTCCAAAAGAACAGTTACAAAAAGTGAGTGGCTTGCCCTTTCCCTGAGCAAGAACATTATTGTCACAGAAACATTCAGAAACCACCAACATTATCCTGGCAAACCAAGCATTTATGTTACAATTACAGTTCATCAACCTCAGTATGTGTATTTTTGAATGCCCACATTGTTTCTAAGTAATAAACATTAAAAGAAAAAAAAAAAAGGGTAAAAACCAATGTGTTCAATTACTGGAACGCCCACGTGCTTCATAAAACAAATCTAATTTCCACCAGAACTAAATATTAACATGTTTTGAGAAAGCTCAAGAAGGATTACGTGGAGAAATTGGTTTGTCCTTTGTTGTCCAGGCAACATAGGTGTGAAGGTCAGTTAGCTGAAAAGTGACAATTTCATTCTGGCTACAAAATTGGTTTAAAAACAAAACGCAATTAAAAAAACAAAAACAAAACACACACACCTCACTTGGGCATATTATCCCGTTGAGAACAATAAATAGTTGAAGAGTGGACATACTTGCGGTGATTACCACTGTAAAAAACTATGAAATATCATAGGAGTTCTATGCATGAATTCAGGACATATCAGCACATCAAGTGAAGCACTGTTATTTAAATTGACACTTCAGGCACCAAAACAACTTAATCTAAATTAAGTTATGAGGTCAGGATACCCCGGGCTCACTCTTCCCTCAATAGGTTAAACCCTTCACAAGCAGGGCAGGGGCACCCCTGATTAGAAGAGAGTAGTCTGCTAACGCTCTAATTTATTCAGTGACCGCCCATTGACAAAACTGGCTAGGAAAAGATACTTTCTTTCCACAATCTCTTGTACAAGTAAATTTAAAAAATAAAATTAAAACAATTTCCGTACCCTTAAGGATCATGTGCACTCAAAAAGAATGAGCAGCTTAATCTAGGTTACTCTCTCTATAAAGTACCAACATTCAAACATACAGTATCAGGACAGTACCAACATACTTGACAGACTAGATGAGACAGTGTCAACATACCTGTTGAATATGTTTTCACTTGCAGCGTATTTGTCCAATCTTCCAAGAGGTGTCAACATTTCATCTTGCGAGACGAAGTCCAAGGCTGAAGGTATAATAATCACATCAGACTCTGAGCTGTAGTCATCCACACCAACTATCAGAAACATCAGAAACATGGCTTGAAAATCAAGTTACATTATGCTAAAAATCCACCCCTTGCCAGGGTACTGACTTAGGTCTGCAGTGTGCAGAGATTAATTCCCTTTGCACCAGGATAACCTGAAGGACAAGATGCAACACAGCTTAGCAGTTTAAATAAAATACATTAAAAAAAAAAAAAAAAACTACCAGTCTCTTGCTTCTAAACCAGGTGTTTGCATATATTTGTACTCAGGATCCAGACAGATGGTATTAGGGATACATATTTAAAAAGCCATGGATTAAGTACATCCTTTCAAGAGCGAAAACAAAATGTCATTTTTTGATGGGGAAACGGCATGGCTTATAACAATTGACAGAGCCATTCAGTTCCAGGAAACAGTCCATGTCAAAGTCTATTTCTGCATTTAGTGTTTCAAACCCTCACAGTTGGTAAAAGAGAGGATAATCAAACATAGTATCAAAAATTCTCAAAGTTAGAGTTCTATTTAAAGGAACATTATAGTGTATTCCCAACACAATAGTGTCCCCCTCTGCATCTGTGCCCCTGCCCCGCCATGAAAGGGTTATATAACCCTTTGAACACTTATCATTCCAGCACCGAGGGTCCCATGGCGCAAGGTAATGCTTCTCCTCTTCCGATGTCAGCCAATGGGGAGAATCTAATGTGCATGTGCCGCACACAGATAATTCCTTCCCCCACAGGAAAGCATTGACTATGCTTTTCTGTGGGGATTTAGAAGATAGTGGACATCCTCATGCAAAGCATGAATACATCTACCAAGGTTTCACATAGTGGAACTGCAGGAAGCATCTCTAGTGTCAGTCTGGTAGAGGTGTTTTAACTCTGCAATTAAAACAATTTCTCTGAAACCGCAATGTATTACAGGGCTAACACACCCAGACCACTTCAATAAGATGACATTGTCTGGGTGCCTACAGTATCAATTACAAATAAAAGACTTATTGTATTAAAGCCTCTTAGTGTATTTTTGTGTAATGCATATATATATATATAAAATGCATTCTAAGTTTTCCTCCTGCCTTACAATATTGCAACAAGAACTGCTATCTTTAAACCCTTTTTGGTCAAAAACACAATTTATTCATGTAGTTAACGAAGAACTAAGTTAACACTCATAACATGACATGTCATTCAAAGGAAAGGTGTCTCTAAACCAGTTTTATTTGTTTGAATTTTGTTACTTCTGACCAGACAACATAGGGCAGTCAGGAGATACACTGGTAAGAGGTATAAATATAAAATAATCCATACTGAGGATTACACGCAAACCTATTTTTAATCATTGTTGACAGTTTTCATTGCATTTTTGAAACTGGCCCAAATAAATCATAGGCAGCAGTATTTCTAAGAACCACTCTAGTGCAGGAATTGCGATTTTTCTCCCCAGCCCCGTCCCCCCCTCTCACTTCGTGAAGACTAAAGTACATTTTCACCAACGTCACGCTGCGTTTGCCACGGCTTGTTCCGTCTCCATGGCTTATAGCGGAGACAAAGCAAACTTGGATCAGTTAAGGTACCAAAAAAAAAAAAACACATCAATATCTTTCCCTCAATACACAAAAGGTTTTAGAAATGTATTCACAAAAATATTGTTAAAGTTTGTGCAAAGTAAAAAAGGGTTAATAAAAACAAAAACAACTTAAAACAACCCCCCCTCCCCCAAACGTTTAGGGCTACATAAAACTATATAATATGGATGTTATAAATGCGATTAAATTACTGAGGAATAAAAATACTTGCCACAACATGTATACAGGAAGTATGCTGCTACAGAGACAAGCAAATAAGCTGTGTGCATTTTTTGCTTCAAAGTCTTACTCCTGAAATGAACACATCACATTTTTAGAACGCTCAAAGTAGTATTGATTCGGTTGAAACAATAAAAGAATATAGAAAAACAAATGTGTGCCCAAAAAAAAAAAAAATATTAACAATTAGTACAGCTTTCAAGAAACTGCAAAAAAGTACAGATCTGAACAGAAAGGATAACCACTTAAAGGAACACTATAGCCTCCAAATCAACTTTAGCTTAATAAAGCAGTTTGGGTGTGTAGATCATGCCACTGCTCAATTCTCTGCCATTTAGGAATTAAATCATGTTTGTTTCTGTCCATGTATCCCTATCCACACCTCCCCTGGCTATGAGTGAGACAGCCTGCATGAAAAAAAACAATGGTTTAATTATAATTTAGATGTTAAAGGATCACTATAGGGTCAGGAACACAAACATGTATTTCTGACCCTATAGTGTTAACACCACCATCTGGCCCCCTGGCCCTCTCATGCCTCCATAAATATAATAAAAATCTTACTGTATTCAAGCCTGAAGCTGTAAATCTGCATGCTGGTAGACTCAGAAAAACAAGCAGTCTGCTGACACGTGGTAGCCTGATCCAATCACAGTGCTTCCCCATAGGATTGGCTAAGACTGACCAATAGGCAGATTGGGGCAAAGCCAGCATGATTAAAACACAGCCCTAGCCAATCAGCATCTCCTCATAGAGATGAATTGAATCAATGAATCTCTATGAAGAAAGTTCAGTATCTGCATGCAGAGGGAGGAGATACTGAATCACAGGATGCTGTGCACAGTGCTGCCCTGTGCTCTGCTGACAGCAGATCTAAGTGGATGGAGGCATATTATGCCTCCATCAACTCCGAAATCCCTTTGGTTCACTCTGAGTGACTGCAACTGGAGGTGTTCCCAGCTTTCAATGTAAACACTGTATTTTCTCAGAAAATACAGTGTTTACATGAGAAAGGCTGCAAGGAGCTATAGTTCTCACCTGAACAACCTCATTGAGCTGAAGTTGTTCCGGTGACTATAGTGTCCCTTTAACTTACTCCAGATGTTTTTATCTACTGCTCTAAATTGAACTTTAAACCCTTAAGGACTGAGCCAAATGCACACGTGATCAAAACAAAATGTAAACAAAAACTTGAATTTGCGCTATGGCATAATTCATCTCTTTCATATTATATGCACCCACACGTATTCTATATAATTTTATTCAGGGGAAACAGGGCCTTCATTTAACATTAAATATTTAGGTATGAAAATTTAATATGAATAAAATATTTTTAAAAATGGGAGAAAAGAATTAAAAAAAATTAGTTCTACGTAGCATTTTAACTGAGAATGCCATAATACGGTTTGCTTTTACTGCAATAAAATACATATTTGTATTCAGCGATGTCTCGCGTGTAAAACAGTACACCCGATGTACAGGTTTTATGATGTTTTTGGGAAGTTACAGGGTCAAATATAGCATGTTAAATTTTTCAGTTTTTTCGCATTGAAATTCGCCAGATTGGTTACGTTGCCTTTGAGACCGTATAGTAGCCCAGGAATGAAAATTACCCCCATGATGGCATACCATTTGCAATAGCAGACAACCCCAAGGTATTGCAAATGGGGTATGTCCAGTCTTTTTTAGTAGCCACTTGGTCACAAACACTGTCCAAAGTTAGTGTTAATATTTCTTTGTACGTGAAAAATGCAAAAAAATCATTTGAACGCCAATTTTGGCCAGTGTTTGTGACCAAGAGGCTACTAAAAAAGACTGGACATATCTCATTTGCAATACCTTGGGGTTGTCTACTATTTCAAATGGTATGCCATCATAGGGGTAATTTTCATTCCTGGGCTACCATACGGTCTCAAAGGCAACGTAACCAATCAATCAAATTTCAATGTGAAAAAACTGAAACGCAAGCCTTATATTTGACACTAACTTTTCAAAACACCATAAAACCTGTACATGAGGGGTATTGTTATACTCAGGAGACTACGCTGAACACAAATATTTGTGTTTCAAAACAGTAAAACATATCACAACAATTATATCGTCAGTGTTAGTGCCATTTGTGTGTGAAAAATTCAAATAAATGTCACTTTCAACGGACATATCTTTGCAATACATTTTACATTTTAGAAACACTAATATTTGTGTTCAGCGAAGTCTTCAGAGTAACACAGTCCCCCCCCCCCCATGTACAGGTTTTATGGTGTCTTGGAAAGTTATAGGGTTCAATATAGTGCTAGCAAATTAAATTCCCTTTCTGCCTGGGTTGTCAAGCAGGTCCCGCAAATTGTAATTAATAAAATGACCTAATTATGTAAAAATATTACATACATACATATATATATAAAAAAATGTATATGTGTGTGTGTGTATATATATATATATATATATATATATATATATATATATATATATATACACACACACACACACACACACACATATACTTTTGAATATAGAGATATATATATATATATATATATATATATATATATAATTTCATTCTACGTGTATTTGGATATCAATATGTATTAATAACAAAATACAGATAGAACGAAATTACACATATTTTTATTTTTTTTAACATATTTAATCAATATCATGCTACGTGTAATATATATATAATGTAAGTATATAGTATTGAATTAAAAACAGTTTTTAACTCTATTCTAATTTTATTATAGGCAGCAGGGGGACTGCCTGTCGTGCCAGGCACTGCTGTGGACAGCTATTCCCTCCATGTGATCGTGAGGTCCTCGCAATCACATAGCCCAGGAGAGCCAGATCGGCATCAGTGGGACTGCCGGGCATGCCAGACAAGTCACCCCATCGCGATAGTCGGCGGGGACGTGCTATGTCGTCTGCTGGCGTTTAGAGCCAGGTCCCCAAGTACGGCAGAGCAAGTGTAAAAAAAAAAAAAAAAAACTCCTCCTCCTTCCCCCCTCCCCCCCCATTTTTCAGCATATGTTTTATTTTTTTAAATAAATTATATGACCTGATACAAATAATGGTATGAAAAAAAAGCCCTTCTTGTCCTGAAAAAAATATATATAACTTGTATGGGAACAGTAAATGAGAGAGAGGAAATTACAGCTAAACACCAACATCCCAAAAGTGTTTAAATAGCTCTGGTCCTGAACGTACAACATGGCCAAAACAGTCTGGTCCTTTAGGCTTAAAATAAATTTAAAAGTGCAAAATAAAAAATACAAGTTGCTGCAATGGATAACATGAACACTATAAAACAACCTGGGAAAAGTTCATAAACTCCAATACTACCCAAGTGCAACAGAATTAAGCAATGCCACAAGGACTGTATTTCAGAAGAAAATTAATAACCAGTAGAGTCTGGCAGAGATGCAGACTCCAGAAGTAGCTAGGAAGACATATGTTTTCTAGTTGGAAGGCGAACGCTTTTCCTGAGCTTTTCCAAACCATGTGAGAGCAACAAGATCCAGCATGGTGGCCATAGTATGCAGAATAACCTTCAACAGCTAGTGCATCAATATGCAACAATTATTGGTAGAAATTACTAATAGTTTAATAGGTTAATCACTCATATTTGAGCTTAAACTATATAACTAAAATAAAATTATATAGCGTACATATTCATGTATCTGCTTAAACATCAATATTTGTTAAAGGGATTCTGCACTGCTCAAATACACACAAAATAAAAATAACTTAGTAGATAAAAACCAAATAAAATAATGCATTTAATTATGCATTTTTCTCGTGGCGGTATAGCTGAAACCAGCCTTTAACCCCTTAAGGACCAAACTTCTGGAATAAAAGGGATTCATGACATGTCACGTGTCCTTAAGGGGTTAAAAGCTACACATTCATCTGAAGACTTTGCAAGCTTTCCCCATCTTACCCAGTCCAGACTTTCTGTGGCTATCCAATCAAAGACTTCCCAATACAGGCAGGTGCTCTGAACAATTGCTGCCACTTAAACTCCACTGTGCTAAGCAACCAGGAAGTAACATTATTATTTTATTATTTATATAGCGCCAGCAAATTCTGTAGCGCTGAACAATGGGGTTGACCAGTTGTCTGACTGACAGCCAGTGGGGTCTGACTGACAGCCAGTGGGGTCTGACTGACAGCCAGTGGGGTCTGACTGACAGCCAGTGGGGTCTGACTGACAGCCAGTGGGGTCTTTTTTACTGAAATATACACTTTTTGTAAAAACAAATAAACAAAGGGTAAAACAAACTGGGTTAAGGCCTCTGGAGTGTCCCTTTACCTGATGTGATAAAACAAAACATCTATATAATAAAAAAATAAAAAAAAGAGCAATGGGTTGCCCTTTTACCTGGATCCATGGCAGAGACCAAGCTTTATCTGATGCTGGTGCACATCTGGCTTCTGCACAAATAACGCTGCTGGAGGTGGCGGTACACCTCTGACAGCAATATAAAGTATATGCAGAGTTAATTGACAAGTTGTACATACAGACTAAGCACCATGACCACGTAAAAATAATGTAATGGATGAAGACTTAAAGGGACTCGCCAGTGCCAGAAAAAAAAAACAAAAACAAAAAAACACGTTTTCCTGACACTGCAGGTCCCCTCTCTCTCCCACCCCCCATCCCATGTTGCTGAAGGGATTAAAACCCCTTCATTGACTGACCTCCGCCTACGCTCCTCCCCCGCCGACGTCGGCTGGCAGGGGAGACCAATTTATTATGCACGGCCGGCAGTGGGGGAGACCTAATGCGCATGCGCGGCAATGCCGTGCACGCGCATTAGACCTCCCCATAGGAAAGCCTTGAATAATGCTTTCAATGCCTTCCTATGGGGATTTCGGCAACGCTGGAGGTCCTCACACAGCCGGAGGGCGTCCAGCGTCGTTATAACACACTTTTCATGTTCTATGAACACGGAAGTGTCCTCTAGTAGACAGCCACTAGAGGAGGATTTAACATGTCAAGGTAAATATTGCAGTTTATGAAAACTGCAATAATTACACTTGCAGGGTTAAGGGTAGTGGGAGTTGGCACCTAGACCACTCCAATAGGCAGAAGTGGTCTGGGTGCCTGGAGTGTCCCTTTAACTGGAGACCACTAATATGCCTCAGCTAGGGGGGCTCCTATATAGCCACTCTGATGACATACACTAACATTGGATTATATGCAAGTCTTATCTCTGTAATGCACAAGAAAACATGACAATTACCAACAGACGAATTTTCAGATTAATATACTAATTTATCGAGTACGATAGGTTTATCTTTTCTGTTTTTAACTAAAACGGACGGTCTGCAGTGGAGTACATCACGATGCATCACTAGATGTGGTGCAAGGTATAGATTTCAAAACTAGACAGATACGGTGCTCTATCCTATATGATCTATATGTTCACTATATTATACATGTCTCTAACTGATTGTTTCTTTAAATTATTCATTTAAACAGTAGACAAAGACAGTCGCACTCTGGGTGTGCGGTGGATGGAGCATCGGGGGATACCCGCTGGTTTGCCGCTCGGGCTCTCTCTGGTGAGTCTGGTCGGGGTCACAGCTCAAAGCCCATAAAACGCCGACTGATTTCGACCTTGCCCATCACCCTTGCATAACATAACACATGCCTTAATACGATGACTTTCCTTTCAGTATCACAAAGACAATATATATTCCGTAACCGGACCGATACCAGAAGTTTTTCACAGAATTAATATTAGGCAGTCATGAACAGTCCTTGGCACTAAATTGCAGGTATGTTTATGTGCAACGTTTCAAGCGGAAATACCGCACATACAGATTCCTTGCTCTGAGACCACTTCTTTAAGGTTTGAGTAACCCTTTAAACAGGAGCAGAAAGGGATCAGATATAGACCAATAGTGCAAGGTAACAGTTTGTTAGCGATGCTGAGCTTCAAATGAGGGCAGCTGAACCACTGCAGAAGCTAGATGCTCATTGGATGAAAATGTTGTCTGAGAGCTCTTAGCCAGCCAGTGTCTGTGCAAAGAAATACACAGAATTGGCATTAGTCAGCCTTATTTCAGGCTGGCTAAAGATGCTGCCAGAGGTGGAGTTACACCTCCGTCAGATGGTTAATTATGTCCGCCTGTGCAGCATGTCATACTGAAGTGGTCATGGTGCTTTGAGCAACCCTTTAACATTGCCCATACAAGAACTCCAACAGCTGCTGTAGTTGTTTGACAACTTGCCTGGGGTCTACCAGCCGCTTCTACTGCTGCCAGATGCTGTGTCAGTGATGGTGCTTAAGATATTCCTTTGAACTCAAGATGTAAGAGGAAATGTTCTAAAGTGCATATTTACCACAAAAGTGTTTCAAATGTGAATACCACAAGGTAATATTTTGCAAACTTAAAAAAAACTAAACCCTCTGAGCCATTTGGAAGCTGAAAAATTTAGCCATGATGTATTCGATACATGGTCAGTATAATAAGCTGAGAAAAATACAGCCACACATTTCCTTTCCTATACTGTACAGGCTTCAACACTTAAGCATGAGTCAGTCCATGAAAAAAAAAAAAAAAAGGTGATGAATACGGTGATAGGTTGCCACCTTTGCAATAAGTCCATTTGTGAAATGTCATCCCTGCTAGACACTGGTATTATTGGAAAGTGTAAACATCTAGGAACAGCAGCAACTCATCCACGAAGTGGAAGACCATGTAAAGTCACAGAGCAGGGTCACAGAGTGCTGATTCCATATCTGGAGAGTTCAAAACTTTTAGGGGCATTGGTATCAGCACAAAACAAGAGGGAAAAAAAAAAAGAAAAAAAAAAAAACTGTGTGGCAGGAGCTTCATGGAATGGGTTTCCATGGCCGTGTAGCTGCATGCAAGCCTCACATCACCAAGTACAATGCCAAGCAATGGATCGAGCAGTGTAAAGCACTCCACGGTAGGACTCTGGAGCAGTGGAAACATGTTCTGTGGAGCAAAAAATGACGCTTTTCAGTTTGGCTGTCTGATGGGTTTGGCTGATGCCAGCAGAACATTATCTGCCTGACTGCATTGTTGCCATCTGTAAAGTTTTTCAGGGCTTGGGCTAGGCCCCTTACTTCCAATGAATGGAAGTTTTAATGCTTCAGCACACCCAAGTCATTTTGGACAATACTATCCTTCCAACTTTGTGGGAACAGTTTGAAGATGCCCCTTTTCTATTCCAGTATGACTGTGCCACAGAGGTCTAGTTTGGAATGAAATAACTTGACTGGCCCTCAGAGCCGTGACATCAATCCCATTGAACACCTTTGGACTAAAATTAAACAGTGTGAGCCAGGCCATTTTGTCCAACATTAGCGCCTAACCTCATAAATGCCCTGCTGGATGAATGGACAGAAATTCCCACAGAAACACTTGTTTTCCCAAAAGATTGGAAGCTATTACAGCTGCAAAGGGGGAACCAACTACATATTAATGTCTATGTATTTAGAATTCAATGTCATAAATGTCCCTTTTAAATGTAATGATCAGGTGTCCAAAATACCTTTGTACATAGAGTATGTCTAATAGGTGGTATGCCCAAGAGGTACATTACTTACAAAGAAGACCATAAATTCTGTAGAAACACCTTAAAAGCAGACTGAAGCAGGGCGGAGGAGTTGTTTTTGAAGCCCTAGCCACATCTCCCCTGGCTATGACATACAGCCTACATTGAAAAATCAGGTTTCATTTTCAATCAGATTTTAGCTTGCTTTGGAAGTTTTTATTTCCTGTTTTGTAAATTGAACAGGAAGGCCCCTGCAGGGTCTATGAAGCTATTAATAGAGCAGAAGATAAATTCTAGATTTAGCTGACTGTGCAATATCTAGGTTACTTCCAGGAAGTGTTTAGAAAGGCTGTGCAAGTCACATGCAAGGAGGTGTGTCTAGGGCTGTATAAACAAAGTAAGATAACTCCTAAATGGCAGACAATTGAGCAGTGAGACCGCTACACACCAAATCTGCTTTATTAATCTAAAGTTGTTTTCATGCCTATAGCTTCCCTTTAATATGTCCACTTATATGATAAATTGTAATATGGTAATTGAAATATATACTAGTGGCCAAAATTTACAAATTTTGGAAAATTTGTATTGCTGAGGTTTTATGGCTTATAATATCAGTATTTTTATAGAATACAATGAAAATTACATAACATTAGAAAGATAAATGCAGAATGTAATTAAAAATTTAAAAAATCCTAAAAAAAACAAACAAAAAAATGATCTTCTTCACACAAAACCATGACCAAGCAAAGAAAACCATGGGAAGTGCATTCCATAATTTCTAACAATTTCTGTTAGTTTAGAAACCTTTTGCACAATTACATCCTGTTAAAAGGGTCCCTACGGGTGGTCCCTTGCAACAGTGTCCGATTGACAGTGAAAACAAAGTGTTTTAGTTCAGTTATTCTAATGTTAAACCAAAGATTGTATGATTCCTTCTACCAATTGCCTGGTATTCCATGGTTGCTTCTGACTATTACCTGGTCATTCTAGCAGTGTAACATGATTTTCCTGAAACCCATTTTTGCACACAGCAGCAACATGACAAGGAGCATTATCCTGCTGAAATCTATAGCATAGCTCAAAATTTCTCCTCTCCACTAGCAAGTGAAAATGTAGCACTAGCCAGTAGAAACTCATCCTGTCAGTATGATATGGCTTGCAGTGGCAAGTAACTTAAGGCCTGGCTAGAAGCTTAGGACTTCAAATTTTAAGCCCTATATAAAGGCACCATTATTCTAGAAAATATCACCGGCTCAAGGCTTCAGCTGAAGTAGATCACTGATGTATTTTGTACTAGAGTATTTTGTACCATCACACAAAATCTACCCACATGTTTTGCAGCCATACAACCCAGATCATAACACACTGGATGCTTTGGCCTCACCTCTCCAGTTGACTCTGTCCCACTGTTCTCAGACTAATTAATGCGGGTTTTAGCCCACTATTTGTTTCCTTCTTAATTTGGGAGATTTAAACTGTAGAATTCCAAGGAAAAAACATTTATATCTTTGAGTCTGTATATACACTGTCCCACTCACCTTTAAGCCACGACAGCGTTTCATTGACTCAAATTATTTTCTTCAATCACTCAAACACTATTTTTAATTCTATCGCTACATACTGTTGTTTCATTACATTCTGCATGACATTATCTTGCTAGTGATTAGTAATTTTGTGTCATTTGAAAAAAAATGACAAGTTATAAGCCATTAGATGTTAGAAATACAAATTTTACAAAATGATTACACAATTTTGGCCTCTTTTGTATATAAAACTATATAAAGACATCAGTGGTACCATAAACTGAAGAGTGAGTAAAAGACATTGTGTACCGACTCCACAGCCCTGGTTTGAAGAAGTTAGCTACAAAAAGTGGTACATTTCAAGCTACTTCTGCTTTACAGGGGAAAAACTACTTCTAGTTAGTTTGCTGTAACTTAGGTTTCATAAGTAGACAACAGAATAAAACATTCCTGATACTGCCCTTCATTGTGCCACACATACAATAGCAGGAAAGGAACAGAGAAAAAGCACTGTTGCTTGAGTAAGAATTTGAACTTTTTTATTTTACTTAAAGGAACCACAAATATTTGAATTTGTTATTAACAAGGAAGTTCATAATCCTGCATTGACATGTACAAAATAAAGGAGCACTATATTGTCAGGAAGACAAACATGTATTCCTGACCCTACAGAGTTAAAACCACCATCTAGCCACCCTGGTCCCCTCATGCCTCACTAAAAATAGTAAAATTCTACTTGTATTCAAGCCTGAAGCTGTAACTCTGCATGCTGTTTGCCTCAGAAAAACAAGCTGTCTGCTGACATCAGAAATGGTAGCCTGATCCAATCACAATGCTTCCCCATAGGATTGGCTGAGACTGACAAAGAGGCAGATCAGGGGCAGAGCCAGCATGATTCAAACACCGCTCTGGCCAATCAGCATCTCCTCATAGAGATGAATTGAATCAATTAATCTCTATGAGGAAAGTTCAGTGTCTGCATACAGAGGGAGGCGATACTGAATGTTTGGATGCATTTAAGGCAGCCATGACCCAGGAAGGATCTCTAACAGCCATCTAAGGAGTGGCCAGTGAAGTTATCACTAGGCTGTAATGTAAACATTGCATTTTCTCTGAAAAGACAGTGTTTACAGCAAAAAGCCTGAAGGTAATGATTCTACTCACCAGAACAAATTCAATAAGCGGTAGTTCTGGTGACTATAGTGCCCCTTTAATGCAGTGATTCTTGAGGGGTTTTTTTTGACCAGGACCCAAGTTACATACATTTTTAAACTTTAAAAAAGTTACCTCTAGCCATTTTGTCGACTGTTGTAGAACAGTAACAATTCTTTTAAAAAGGCATTCATTTCCAAGGGGTGGGGCCCCCACATCTCCATTTTACTTCTGATGGCCCTTTTGCTACTATACAGACCCTACTGTGAGCATTTGATTGGAAACCTAGATATACCTAGGAAATCACACACCCTTTGTGTCACTATACCACACTCCTAGTATGTAAGCTCATTGAGCATAGCCCTCAACCCCTCTGTTCCTGTGTGTCTATTTGTCTGGTTACAATTACGTGTCAGTTAGTCCACCCATTGTACAGAGCTATGGAATTTGCTGGTGCTATATAAATAAAATAACAAAAGTTTCCAAATGTATGGTCAAGCCCTATGGATTATTTTATTTTTGGCATTTATACACTGGATTTATACAACTGTCATTAAGCTGTATTTGCTCTGGTGACTAATGTTCCCTTAAATTTGTATTATTCTCACTGGGGAATATCCTTAGCAAGTCCTCCCCTTCTAACCATGCCCTGACTTTCTGTGGCTATCTAGTCACAGACTTCCCAATGCAGTTTAATGAGAAGACTTGGAAAGGCAGGTGCTACTCGTTCTGCAAAACAGAAAAAAGTGCACAAACACAAAACTTTTCAGCAAGCTAAAGTGTTTTAGTGGTCTGGAGTATCCCTTTGAAATAAATTAAGAATGTTGCATAGAAAATGAAAGCATATTTTACATGGTAGTTCCACTTCATAAAAAAAAAAAAAAATGAGAATAAGCATTGAAAAATAACTGCCTTGCAAACTGGCATAGATACAGTAGCATATTGTAAGGTTTATTACAACTGGAAGACTCAGTTATAACCTTTCCCTAATGTGGAATTTCAGAACAGAGGCCCATTTTGTCAAAAGCCATGTGTCTGCTTATTAAAGGGACACTATAGTCACCCGAACAACTTTAGCTTAATGAAGCAGATTTGGTGTATAGGACATGCCCCTGCAGCCTCACTCTATAGTCACCTGAACAACTTTAGCTTAATGAAGCAGATTTGGTGTATAGGACATGCCCCTGCAGCCTCACTGCTCAATCCTCTGCCATTTAGGCGTTAAATCCCTTTGTTTATGAACCCTAGTCACACCTCCCTGCATGTGACTTGCACAGCCTTCCATAAACACTTCCTGTAAAGAGAGCCCTATTTAGGCTTTCTTTATTGCAAGTTCTGTTTAATTAAGATTTTCTTATCCCCTGCTATGTTAATAGCTTGCTAGACCCTGCAAGAGCCTCCTGTATGTGATTAAAGTTCAATTTAGAGATTGAGATACAATTATTTAAGGTAAATTACACCTGAAAGTGAAACCAGTTTTTTTTTTTCATGCAGGCTCTGTCAATCATAGCCAGGGGAGGTGTGGCTAGGGCTGCATAAACAGAAACAAAGGGATTTAACTCCTAAATGGCAGTGAATTGAGCAGTGAAATTGCAGGGGAATGATCTATACACTAAACCTGCTTTATTTAGCTAAAGTAATTCAGGTGACTATAGTGTTCCTTTAAGTGCCAATGCCCCGAACACAGGAACTCACAAAATACAGAGTCAAGAGACTTTATAAGTCATTTTCTGCCTGAAAGAAACTTATCAAAAGTTTTAAGTTTCTAATGAGATATGTGGAGTTAAATAAATTACTCCCAAAGTCAGAATTTAATGAAAGGCTGCACACATATAGCCCTTCATGACCACTTCAAAACACTGGAGTGTTCATGGTGATTGGAGTAACTACTCAATGAATAGCAATGTATTTATTCACAGTATAAGTTTCTATAGGCAGAATTAGTAAACGCCATCTTGCCTGACGGTAAATAAATTATACTTTTCCCATGAGTGAAATTACAATTTCTAACAAATGCAGACAAAATGATTAAGCATTTTCAATGTAAGATGGGGTAATTTAGCACAACATCCCTTGCAAATGTTGACACTATAGTCACCAAAACAACTATGGCTTAATGAAACAGTTTTTGTGTACAGATAATGCCCCTGAAGTTTCACTGCTCAATTATATGCCATTTAGGAGGTAAATCATTTTTGTTACCGTTTAAGTTGCCCTAGCCACACCTCCCCAGACCATGAGTGACATATCTTGCATTAAAACAAAGTGGTTTCATTTTTAAAATCATATGTAACTTATTTTCAAAGTTTTTATCTCCTGCTCTTTATTTATATGCTCCTGCAGGCTCTTGCAAGCTATTAAAGGGCAGGAGATAAATTAAAAATGTAACCCAATTTGCAATAAAGTGTAAACATTAGATAACTCTTTACAGGACGTGTTTACCAAGGCTGTGTATGTCACATGAGGGTAAGGTGTTACTAGGGCTCCATAGACAAAGTGATTTATCAAAATTGGCAGATAATTGAGCAGTGAGACTGCAGGGGCATTGTCTATATACCAAAACTGCTGCATTAAGCTAAAGCTGTTTCTGTGATTATTGTACCCCTTTAACTGATCTGAAAGCCATTCATTTGTAAAAGCCACATTTTTAACTTTTTTCTCAAAGACTATTTAATGTGCGCAGTTTGAGGCAAATTGTGAAACAATCTTCAAGTTGTTTTACAAATCTAGAAATCTTCAGAGACACTACCAACAACATAAGGTTGACAATCCAACTCTATTTAGAAATATGTTAAGAAAGATTGGGGAATCTCAGCTGTAAACTTAAGCAAACTGACAATGTCATTTTAGTATTACAAATATGAGGAAACCAAAAAACACCTATAAAATACAAAAAGTTTTTGTTTGCAGTGTAAAATATGTTTAGCCCAAGAGACAAGACAGATATTCATGAAATTCAGGTCAACTAATATGTTTTTGCATGTGTATTATGAATTGCAAAATTACAAATTAGAAGAAGTATGGCTTGCTAAGGTCTAAAAATACTATCATTTGCTAAAATAGTGCTCTATATAAGGAACTGTAACCATCGTTTAAAAATAAAAAATGGTTGGCACAATAGAATCACTAAAAGGAACATTCATTTTGATGTACACAGAGGCTGTGAATTTTAGTCAGAAACCAAACAATAACTTGTGTAAAGCAGTCAGATAAGTGTTTAAAGAAAAATCACTTACAACCATCTATCTCTTCTTGCACGTCCTCTTGCAACAGTGACAGATCTGAAAAACATGCATAAATATATATATTATTTATTTTTTTTAAATGCAAACTGCTCTAGACACCAACCCAACAACTTCCTACAACCCATTTTACTTGCAGAGCCATTAGAACCAGTTTGATTAAAGGATGCACAGCGCTTTTTGTCACTATTTGATTGGAGGTATGCTATTGTAATGTTTGGATGTAGATACAAAATGAAAGGAGTACCATGTGTGACCTCGTAATAAATTAGGGAAATTATTAAACTTACTTTTTTTGTGTACTTAACACCTTATTTACGCCAAAGCACACATTTGAGAATGGAGTCATGAATGTGTTTAACTTAAGATATGTTATTTAGTATATGTTTTGTGGTTTAATGGGAGTCATGTACAACATATTTGTGTACACACAACATGGTCAATACATTTTATTTTTAGACAAGTTACATGTCCCTTTGGTAGAATGATCACACATCCCAATTTCAAAAGACAACCTCAATTAGATTACAGTACGCATTTCTAATAGTTTGTAACATTTAAACATACATTTGGAACTTAAGCACATTTCCTTAGGAGCCCATAAAGAAGTACACTAATAAAGAGCCACACAAAATACATATAAATTAACCTCCTTATTCAGAAAAATATGGTCAGTTAACATATGTAATAGAATTATATATATATATATATATATATATATATACACACACACACATATATACATATACACACACACAAAGGAAAAATACCGGCACTAAAGGATTTTCAAAATTTCACTTCTCCATTTATTGTGGAAGAATCAAATTCGACGTTTCAGCTCCTCTAATTTGATTCTTCCACAATAAATGGAGAAGTGAATTTTGGAAAATCCTTGAGTGCCGGTATTTTTCCTTTGCCTATAATTGAGGCACCAGGTATTGTTTTCTTTTTTGTTGGAGTGCAGGGGTTCTTTGTATTTAATATAAATATATATATATATATATATATATATATATATATATATATATATATATATATATATATATATATATATATATACACACACACACACACACACACAGAGGATAATTCTTGCACTCACGCTGTAAATTGTAATGCTGGGTTCCAAACCCTTTGGGCTGACGTAAATATAATTCCACAGATAAGGCTGCACTCACAGTCTTCACAAAATCCAAAATGCTTTATTAGGTATTCATTAAAAACAGGATCATTCTTTCAGCCCTCCATGGGACTTTCCTCAGGATCAAAAAATACATATAAAGCATTTTGGACTTTATGAAGACCGCGAGTGCAGCCTTATCTGTGATATATAGATAGATATATATATATATATATATATATATATATATAAAGTATCTAAAAGTCCATAAACAGCAAGCACTCTAGGAAGATCCATGATGATGCCCTGATGAATGTTTGCAATATATAACTAAAATGTAGATTTTTACTTATGGAATTTACTATTTATAAAATATTTTACCAGGAAGGACACATTGAGATTTCTCTCGTCAAGTATGTCTTGTTGAAAACCAATTAAAAAAACAAAACAAAAAAACCCCAGCAACCCTCTTTTGTATCTTATTGGAGTACTTGCTATTTATGGACTTATCTACAAGTGCGGCAGAGCACTGTGTAATATATTAAGCAATTTTTTGTTCAGTAGGAGTGTAAGAATATAAATATATATATATATATATATATATATATATATATATATATATATATATATGCTGCAGTACCTTGCACTCAAGCTGCAAAAATTTTCTTAGCCGGGTGCACTACCAGACAGTAGAAAGTAGATGGCTGCACTCACGGTTTTCCAAGTAAAAATTAACTTTTCTTATGTCATTTTAAAATCAGGATCAACGTTTCAGTCCTCTCTAATGACTTTCATCAGGACTGAAACATTGATCCTGATTTTAAAATGACATAACAGTTAATTAGAGAGAGATGTTTAAAGGAACACTATAGTGCCAGTAAAACAAACTCTTTTTCCTGGCACTATAGTTTTAATAGGTCCCCCCCCACTCTCATGGCCCCCCTCCCGCCAGACTCTAAGGGGAGGAAGGTGTTAATCACTTACCTTTCTCCAGTGCCGGGGACTCTTCTGCCGCATGCACGGCAAGAGCCGCGCGTGCATTCAATCAGTCCATAGGAAAGCATTTGTCAATGAGACAGCCACTAGAGGCTGGTTTAACCGTAAAGTAAACAGTTTCTCTGCTATATTTACAGCAGGCAGGGTTATCCCTAGATGGACCTGGCACCCAGACCACTTCATTGAGCTGAAGTGGTCTGGGTGCCTACAGTGGTCCTTTAAAGGAATAAAACCATGAACTGGAGCTCACCGGTGAGCTGTGCACTGTACAAATGGGTTACATTTTAACTTTAATACTTTTAGTTAGGCTTATGTAGCACATTCAAATATATCCTCTTTCAAATTGGAAGTGTCTTTTGAAAGGAAACTTCATGAAGACTATAATTTAATGTTCTATACCATAATAGCCATTTCAATACACTATATTACAGTTTTTGGAAATGGTTAAATGCAATGATTATTTTTTTTTATTTTATTTAAATCATTGTGTAGTAGATTTACCAACAATGAAAACATGCATTTATTTCTAATTTCTCACTTTTTTTTTTCCTTCTTCATTTGAGGTATATCAACAGCTTGCAAAAGTTACATATTTGCTTTGTGCAACCTTTGCAAGTCCTCCTTTTAGTTTATGCGAGTGGCATGACCAGAGGCTTCTCATCGAGAAGCTTCAAAGTTTGAGCTGCAAACTCGCAAGTGAATGTGGCTTTCAGTCCAAGTTCTCTCAACAGGGGAGTCTGTGCAGGAATAACGTGTGTTCTGTGCCACTCATGCTGAAAGGTACACTTTTACTTGGGGGATAAGGCAAGCATTTTCTAGCAGAGGGTGCCTGCCACTTAAATTAGCTCTGTTATGCTAACAAAATTAGGAAGATAACCTACACGGCTGTACGTGTTACTGCAGTTATATACATAAGTGACATCAAACCTGCATTAGGCCAAATTCTACCTGCAGCCCAAGTATGTCAGGCTGAGGGGCAAACATAGGTATCATTAAGGGAAGAAGGGTATGCTACCACTAGCTGTCTGGAGTGCTGGCGCCAGACACCAGATCTGCACAGGTCTCACACATTAGCCACCCAAAGCACTTGTTGCAGGCTGGCTACCGATGCCCAAATGACCCGGCTGGAGATGGACTTAAAAATATTCTTTTTAGTTAGTGAATTAGCTGGCTAGTGCCAGAACAAGGCAAATAAAATCACTGCACTAGAACAAAGAAAGCGCAGACTTAATGTTCTTATCTAAAACATGCATAGTGTATAAATATTCATCGCTATAATAAACTATTTATGGAAAGTCTAACGGGCAATTTCAGTTAAATGGAACCTGTTACCTCAAATTTGCTTTAAAGGAAAGCAAACCACTTTCTTTCCCTAATACTACTAGGTACCGGAACACTAGAATGTTATGAACACAGATTTGTATTCCTAATGTTAATAGTGTTCCTTTACGGCTCGTGTATCATGCATTATAGAAAAGTAAGTAAATACCTAGGTAGCCACATCTTCAGTAGGATTATTCTAAAATGTGAATTACCATTATTCAAAGTGAATTTCTTGTCTTAAACCAAAATAGCTGAACTGAAATCATAGATGGATTGTAATTATTTTTTGCCTAAAAATTCACTCTAAATAAAATTTCCAAAAATGCACACTTCCGTGGATACCTCTGCTAAACGTTGCAAGGGTTCTTTCCAGGCCAGATAAAGTCAATTATAAAATGTGCCCTCTTAGCACACAGTGCCAGTAACTAAAGCACAAGCCTTATCCTCCCAACACGTTCGTGCATATGAACACTACGTACACTATACCTGCCCATAGCTGCATATATAAAAAGGGTGTGTGCATATATGTATAGGAATGTGACAACACAGCTCTTCAGATTGTGTAATAATAAACAGTCACACGCACTGAGCACACGCAGTCCCCGCCATATAACGTGCACTTCCTTCCCTGCACAGCATCTCACACACACACACACACACGTTGCCACACTCAGTACACGGTCTCACACCCGGCGCCGTGCCTCACCCGCCATCTTGTGCCCCGGGCCGCGTTGCTACATGGAGCCTGCAGCCCTAGCGCTGCCCTCCTAGCCCCGGGGCTGGCTGCAAGTCGGGGAATGTCTCCCGGGCGGTGGGCACCTCGTCCTGTACGCGCTGTCAGCCCGCTACCCCGGATCACCCCCACATCGCACAACTCATCCGGACACAGCGCACCGCCTCTTCCTGTTACACAAACAGAGCCTCCCCTTCCTCAGCACGCACCGCGTGACGCGCACAGCCTCCCCTTCCTCAGCACGCACCGCGTGACGCGCACAGCCTCCCCTTCCTCAGCACGCACCGCGTGACGCGCACAGGCTTCCCTTCCTCAGCACGCGCCGCGTGACGCGCACAGACTCCACTTCCTGAGCACGCACCGCGTCACGCGCAATAAGCCTTCCCTTTCCTGAGCACGGATCGTTAGACGCGCGCACTCCCCCACACCTTCCTTTCGCAACCCTGACCGTTAGTCGCGCGCCTTGCACGTCCCCTTCGCGCCTGTGTTTGTGCAACTTTTTCTTCTCTAACGCGCGGGTATTGTTTTCTTCATTACCACGCACCGGCGATGTTTTACCTCACGACCCAGCGCTAACGTGCAACGTGATAAAAAAAAAAACCCAGCAGTGATATATAATAATATGGTCTGATGACAAACAATATTGAATGCTATGGGTTGGGGGTAAAACCAGCTACAAATTACTATAATCGATATATTTCCAGTTAGAATTTTCAACTTACCATGTCCAGGGTTTATGACCTATGTTACTAGAAAGAATTATATTCTTTCTAGAAGTCAATGATCTTTCAAAGATGTAATTCAACAGTTAGAGATTTTTACTACCATAAAAACGGTTGGACATATATATATATATATATATGTATATATATATATATATATATACACACACCGTATATATATATATAGCGATAAATTATAAAAATAACCGACGTGGTGCCCACATTGACGAAAGAGACACTCTGTTATATTATGACTGGACGGTGATGATAGATCAGAAAAATTGCATATCTAACAAGTACAATCACGATTGGGCAATTAAAAAAACATAATTGTCCCCTCTTATGGCCAGCATTTTCTTTTAAATATAATGAACAGGAGACCTAGTGTCACTCCCAGCTCCCACCCATGACTGGCAGTTGTGGAAGGACCACAAAGTCACACCATTATGACATTTGTGCAAAATCATGTCATTGCTGATGCCCACTCACATTTTGGGGGCATGGTTATTAAGTAAACGCTCCATGCCTATAAATACTTTAGTTTTATAGTTATTTATAGCCCTCTTGTGATTTCAATAGCTAATTCCTGTTGATCTGTTATTTACTAGTAATCTATTTGTCTTACTCAACTACTCTGATGTCTGTACTTTTTGATCCGGTTTGGCTTTTCGGCACTGTGTTTTCTGGAATACATGAACTTGGCTTGTTTTCCTTGACTCCGATACTCTGCTTGCTAAAAGCATTGCTTTAAACCTGGCTACACTAAGGTCCAGTAACATTCTACTAGCCTTTGCTCTTCTTTTGAGTAACATAGATTTAAACACATGATGTAGGGTGTGCATGCTTATCTAGACATTACAACAGGACCATGTACCTAACAGGCTTAAATCCTCAGGTGGTGAATTATGAGGCTTAGATCAATTCATTCAAGCAATGCAGACCTTGTTTACTTGTACTGCTAAATTGAAAACTGAAGCTTAGTCTCTCTCAGCCTCCTCTACAATCTCTCCTGTTCCGGATACCCAGGGTGCCCTCAGCAAGCCTTCTGGCTTGACTTTCTTTCCAGGCAGGCATGATGGTCTCTGTTTCTGTCCAGGTTTGATTTCATTAATACATATAGACCTGATTCAATAATCACTAAGACAGACGTCCTGTCCATGCAACATGAACTGTTAGACATCGAGGAAACCGAACATTTTTTTTTGTCATGTCCAAAGGTAAATTATTAACGTCTACTTATATACCTACTCCTGGAAGGTATACAGGCTGCCGCGGGAGAAGCTTCTCCCTTGATGCCTTGAAAAACATGGTTTGTCCATGAGCTTTAAAGGATACCCTTATTATATAAATTTCACTGCAGTATGGTACCTGGCCATCCATGGATTCACAAGGCTATTTCTCAACAATTCTGGTTGCCTTCTGATGTTAATACTTTTGTGAAAGTCTGTCAAACTTGTGAACAGACAAAGTCTTCCCATGCATTTCCATATATTCTGGCCTTTTACAACCCCTTCCTCTTCATCATTGTAGGTTCACGAAAATGGCCTACTTTGTTCCTTTGCCTAAATGACATACTTTTTCTGAACTGGATGTTATCTTTGCCAATGAAGTATTTACACTTCACGGTATCCTTAGTGAGATTGTTTTGGATAGAAGGATCCAGTTTGTATCTTGCTCTTAGAGAGCTTTTTGTTCTGAAATGGATATTCAGCTGACCTTCTCGAAAACTTATCACACTCAAACTAATCGGGCAGTCAAAAGAGCTAACCAAACCTTGGAACAGTACCTACGTTGTTTTATATCACAACACCAGGACAATTGGTCTGCCTGCTCCTATAGGCTGAATTTGTCCCAACACAGTCCTTTCCATGTCAATTTTGGGTTTTACTCTACGATTTTCCCCTTTCATTTTCCGCCAGGTAAATGCCAACTGTGGATGAACACCTCAAAACTTACAGGACACCTGGGAGCGGGACCAGAGCATTCTGCTCAAGGCACAGTCCATCCAGAAAGCATATGCTCCCAAACGTCTTCAGGTTGCCACAACTATCAAGTAGTTGATAGTGTTTTGGCTGAGTATCCGTAATGTCAAGCTCCCTCCATGAAGCTGACACCTTGTTTTACAAACTCGCTGTGACGGAACGCTGGCACTCCGACTGAGTACCTCCGCCAATCGATGCTCCTAGTGCTCGCTGAGGACTCCAAGCACTCCAACCGACACCATCAGCACTGCAGACCCCACTTCCAGCGATGCAACTGCGCCGGGGTCTCTGCTGTTTCCACCCACCCTGGACCCAAGGCCAGGATCCAGCTTCCAGTGGGTGAACCTCTCTTTCCCCAGAGAGCAGGAACAGGCTCTTAGCAGAACTTAGTGATCATACCCTGGGGAGTATAGTGATTATAGCAATCCCCAGAGTGTATTTCTCCAATCCCCCAAACATGAGCCAAGGCTTAATGCTGGAACAAGACTGATTTACTGGCACACAGAACTCACAATTTATGCAACACAAAACTCCTCCTCTGGGCCAGGCTAGATAATTGAGTTTCTACAATACACAAAGCTCAATTATCTGCTGGCCAGAAACATTACAAATTTTACAGTATTCATAACTTCTAAAATATACATCACAGGGACCCCAAAACATGCAATAACCCCATAAAAAGTATATCCTTGGAACCGGGGGATCTGGGTGAACCACATATCCAAAATTCACCCAGATCCGTTCAGTACTTTGGAAAATACAGTTTAATGCAGATTCTGCAGAACATATACAGGCTAAATGAAAAACAATTACTGTATAATGTGTCCCCTGCTGTATAGTCCAAAACCACCGCACGATGTCTCTGTGCACCAAATACTGGCGAGATGGCACCGTGTTGAAAAGTCCAAACAGTGTCTGTGAGTTAAAATGGCCGCCATCCATTGTTCTCACCATGTGCTTCTGATACAGGAAATGGTGGCCACCCAGTAACTCCACAGTATGTCCCCAGATGGTTCTTAAAGGGCCAGCAGCAGCACAACACAAATCCATTATGCCCAAATCATGTCTTTAAAGGGCAATACATCCCAGGGGCCATAGTCACAGGGCAAGAGGCGGGCAAGCAGTCCTCTCCAGGCACAAGTGGCGAAGGGCACTTCGTCACACTCGCCCTTCCTCATGTCCTCAAGATATTCAACAATTTTCATGTTACCGCCCTGAAGCCATTGTTGTCCAACAGGTATATATTTAGGGTTCCTACTCAATTGTTGTTGATTGGCAGAAAGAAAACAAGTTTGTGACTTTTCTTGATTCCAGGGTGTCTAGGGGTAAACTACAGTATCTGGTTCACTGGAAGGGGTACAGTCCCGGGTAACATTTTTGGTTTGATGCACAGGACATCCATGCACCCCTGTTATTGCATGCTTTCTGTGGCAAACCCTGCCACTAAAATACTAACTATTCTGTGCGAATGAACATTGGAATTATTACAAGCGAATGGGTGCAAAGGCAGAGACTAATTCACGAACAGACTATAATGCTATTCATGCTGTTCTGTATGCGAATGCCCTGAAACTACCGAACGAGAGACCACGAACACGTGGCGGCGGCCATCTTACGCACGAACAGCGGTACTTGGTCGTCGAACGCCTGGAACTCAAACCGGGCATTCGACTAACCAAGTACCGCTAAGACCTCCAGCACGCTCAAAAAGCACGAAGCAAACACACGAACACCCAGTTATTAAATCCAACGGTTCACATACTTTTTCCACCTGCACTGAGAATGTTTACATGGTGTGTTCAATAAAAACATGGCAACATTTCATTCTTTGTGTGTTATTAGTTTAAGCAGACTGTGAAAGTCTATTGTTGTGACTTAGATGATGATCAGATCACATTTTATGACCAATTTGTGCAGAAATCCATATCATTCCAAAGGAGTCACATACTTTTTCTTGCAACTGTATGTCGAGGCATGGGCTTCATAAGACCCCTAAATGTATCCTGCAAGTTGCAAGGTGGGGTCTCCATTGATCAGATTTGTTGTTCTAGCACATCACAGAGATTCTCAATTTTGATTGAGTTCAGGGAATTTGGTGGCCAAAGCAAAACAAGGCCATCCACCTACAAAAAAAGGGTGATTAATTAGACCAGGCAATCTTCTTCCATTGCTCCATGGTCCAGTTCTAACACTCATGTCCTCATTGAGGGCGCTATTAGGGGTGGACATGGGTCATCATGGGCACTCTTACTGATCTGCAGTTATACAGCCCGATATGCCGCAAATTGCAATACACTGTGTGTTCTGCCACCTTTCTGTCATGACCAGCATTCTGTTGAGTATAATCATTCCCTTCAGGCATTTTCATGTAAACCTTTTTTTTTTTAGAGAAATTCTCATGCTCTCAGCCAATCAGTGACTCCCCATTCTCTAAACTGGCTTGAGAAAGGTATTTTTCTTTCCAAGCCAGTTTAGTGAATAGAGAATCACTGACTGGATTAGGAATGAGTTGTCTCTAGCCATTAGTTGTATTAAATGTACTTAGGCACAATAATAAAATGACTACATATATTAATAAGTTTCAATAATGTAGTAGTACAGATAATGCGTTTAATAAAAATGTTAACTTTGACATAATTAAATTTAGGACTTGGACAAAATAGCTTTGCAAACATAGGACAAGTGCTAACAATGTACTTTCTCTGTTCTCCCTTATATGCTTTGATGTTACACTTCTATTGGAGGAAGAAGAGAAGGAGGGTACCATCACTTTCACAGCAGTGGATTCTGGATCATTAGAGGAGGACACAAGTAGCCAATGACATACCACATCTTCCTCCATAGACAGTTGCGCTATGGGAGACTCTCCTGCTCGCCAAACCCAACTGGAGAGGTTTATATATAGGATAGGGATAGACAGAATGAACTATTAGGAAATGTAATTACTGAGGTATGCTTCATATCAAATGTTTTGAGTGAGGGTGTTAGGCAATTCACAGCATCATTAGTCTCCTTGGAAAGACATGTGCAGTGCTTTGTGGAGATGAGGGAGGAAAAGTGCATTATAATATGAGCCCAAGCTGGCCACAATATGGGCATGCCCATTGATAGTGTGGATGACGTTTTTTGGGAACATTGAAGGGTCTTCACAGAAAAGATGATAAACAGAAATCTATGGGTTAAAAGCATTTAGAAGTTTTCTCTGTCATCCACAATGTAAACACAACTGACGCTGTTCATAGGTTTTTATATTCTCTTATGTTTCTTCTAGTTTTCCCTATCCTTCCTCAGAATAAAATGCTGCATTCTCCTCTGATTTACCTTGGGCATTATCTTCCCAAGCCTGCTCCTGACAATCTGGGCTGCCTCTGTTTGTTTGCTTTCTCCCACTTGCACTAAATATTTTGTTAGATTTATATTTAATATCAGTCTTACTGAACTGGAAAATTCTCTTAGTCAGTTGTGTTTCAACTCAGCTATTCTAGCCTTAAATTTGAAATTCACTTAGAATTCATCTTGAATTCTCACTTTAGTAAATAACTCTATTATTGCAGCCATGTTTATTCATGTTAAATAGGAAAGAGAGAGAGGAACTTTATTGGTGGCTGCAACATATGAAAGTGTGTAATAGGGTAGCAATTTTAGAAATTACATTAAATCACAAATAAATAAACCTTTTTAATTTTGTGGGTGTGTGAAATTTGCAAATAGCAGGAAAGAATAACTTACGCTTGCCCGTGTATCTTTAATAAAATCATGATTTCCGATCATAATTCCTTGAATTCTCCAATATCAGATCAGAGGACATTGTTCCTCTTAGGAACTTAAAAAATTAGTTACTTACATTTCTCAGTTTCTAGCATAAGTTGACCTTACATTTCCTATTATTTGTATTTAAAGGGAAATTCTCACAGTATATCACTTCTTCATTTGAGCTATATACTCTGGTCCAAATTATAGTGAATTGAGATCTGAGTGAAAACAAGTAAACTAAAATAGTTTATTTGGAAAATATGCCTACAGCCTCATTTGTCCTACCTTGGATGGGCACTTTGAGAATGACAAAGTGGGAAAGGGCTGACTACTGGCTAAAAGCAGTGTATTATATGAAATATATGTCATACAATCAATTATAAAAATAATTGCTATATTAAATATACTGGTCTTCTTTTATACCTTATGAGATTTGGGGTATGTTTTTACAGTGAGGGGAAAAAGTATTTGATCCCCTGCTGATTTTGAACGTTTGTCCACTGACGAACTGATCAGTCTATAAATTTAATGGTAGGTGTATTTTAACAGTGAGAGAATAACAAAAAGAAAATCCAGAAAAACGCATGTCAAAAATGTTAGACATTGATTTGCATGTCAGTGAGTGAAATAAGTATTTGACCCCTTCGACTTAGTACTTGGTGGCAAAACACTTGTTGGTAATCACAGAGGTTAGATGTTTCTTGTAGTTGGCCACCAGGTTTGCCCTATGGTTTCTGTCCTTATACAGGTTACTGTTATATATAAGTCTCTCTTGTCATATTCCTATTATTGACTCCTGTGACACTGGGTATAACTAATGAATTTATGCAGTATTCTGTAACCCACTAAAATGTGTGAAATCAACATTGCATTTTATATTCTAAATAACATTGGTCTGGATGCATCATATGTACAGGATATCGAACCCTTCAAATTGGAGAAGGTTCCATTTGCAGAGGGCTGTAAGTATGGCGATGTCATGGGCACACATGTCAGACTCAACATTTCAGCTATAAGTTTAAAATATACACACATTATTAAAAACATTTTTTTTTTAAAGAACATAAAACGTGTATGTGATGCTATATGTGTGTTCTTTATGCCCTTCATATTTTTCAGATGTATTTCTGATTTCGGATGTATTTCTGGCATATGGATAGTGTGCCACTGAGCTATAGCATTAATATAATATATACAACGAGGAACAATTTAAAAAAAATATACTCTTTATTGTTTTACTGGTCTTCTAATGTTATCATTACACTGTTAGGTTAGAATACCAAAACAAAATGTACCGAAGAGTTTATTTGGAAGCTATGACTACTGTACCATTAATGATG